TAAGGCAAAAATCAAGTCGGTGGGGGGTGTGATTTGACTGTGGGGGTGGGTGGGTGTGGGTGTGGGGTGTGGGTATGGATGTGGGTGTCGGTGTGGGTGTGGGGTGTGGGTATGTGCGTGGGTATGGGTGTCGGTGTGGATGTGGGTGTATGGGTGTGATTGTGGGTGTGGGTGTGGGTGTTGTGGATACATGAATCGTAGCCAAAATTCACACACCCACAGCCACACCCACACACAGCCACACCCATCCACACACTATAGATCATGAAAAATCTATTGAACATACACGTACTTAAACATGCGTTTAAAAAGGAATATTTTTAGCTGATAGAGTAGCATTATATTATCAATCATAACAGTATCAACAAAATATTTCAGACTATAAATTACAAATATGTCTTAAAAGCTTACATTTTATCACGTAAGTTGTTTCTCGTCTAAATGCTTCCCATTCTCATACTATCTTTTACATGGTTACATGTATCCTTCTTTTGTTCTTTTCTTCAAATTTATTTTCAAAACAAAAGGCGAACAGAACGCTGATGTGTAGGTGCTTGGAGAAGACGATTCTAAAAGAAATACCAGAATAATAGATGTAGTGCCATGAGACAGAAAAAAAGCATAGCTTATGCCACGAAAGATATCTTCTGATATAAGACACATTCCTCCTCTCTTTTTTGTTCCTCATATGTGTTGGTCATAGTTATTTAGTCAGAAATTTATATTCAAGATAATTGTTCTTTTTTTTTGATAAAACTCAATTACAAATAATTAAAAAGATGTATGTATATTTTTTTTTTAAATAGTCGTGCACTTACCATAAAATACAGTTGGCATTTTTGATAAGTGATCAAATCTTATATTTTATTTTTGTATTCAGGGCTGGTACGAAGAGATAAAAGCAGGGAGCCTTTAAAAATGGGAGAAAATGTGAAAAAAAATCTAGAATTGGTGCTTATTAAAATCTTAATAAATGAGTAACCGAAATAATTATATCATTTATTCGTTCATATAGAAAAAAATCTTCATGAAGACTTTTCTCACCAATGAATAGTCGTCGTTATATCTAATGATGACACACTTTTCCAGAAATAAATCGATATTTATATATTTACTCCAAAGAATATTACTATGAATTGATGAGGAGACAAAATTTATATATCAATGTCCTGTTTTCTTATTGTTAGCTATTTGTTACTATAATCATTTAAGATGCATAAGAAGTGAAGCCATTTCTTATGTCAACAACAAAAAATAGACAAGCTATAGTATAATTCTACCAAAGTCGTAGAGAATTTTTACCCGATTTTCTCCAGAATTCGAAGAATTTTACATTAGTTTTCTTTCGAAATTAAGATTTTGACCAGATTCTCTCAAAATAATACGAATCTGTACAGTTAATTATATACATAAGATGAGAAAAGGAGAAAGATGAAGAATTAGGTTTTAAAAGTTAGACACAACTGGTCGCAACGAAAACAGGAGGAGAAATAATATATTAGTCATTAAAATCTCACATGTTTTCATCCGTATCTACCGAGTGTACCAAAAGTTTTGTGATATTTTTTATTTCGCATATATCTCGGTTTGAGAAAATGATAAAATATTTATTTCCTTTTTAAAAGATGGACCGTGAAAAGCTCTACAAAAACTGTACACAGAAATCCCTATTAACTGATTCTCATAGTGCTTCCCATAGTCAATATGAACAATCGGCATGGTAATGCAATGTCCCGGAATATTGAGGATGATTAAAATGTTTTGGAAGACCTTTTTTGTTTTGCAATAGAGATTTGTTCATACAGCTTATGTGGAGCTTTTCATAGCGCATCTTTCAAAAAAAATCAAGATGCTATCATTTTCTCAAGCCGAGATATATGCAAAACAAAAAAGGGCTTCCAAACATTTTTATCATGCTGGGACGTTGTATTAGCATGCAGGTTGTTCATATTGAATATAGGAAGCACTATGAGAACCAGTGAACAGGAATTTCTGTATACAGTTTTTGTAGAGCTTCTCACAGCGCATCTTTTAAAAGGAAAATAAAGATTTTATCATTTTCTCAAGCCACAATACATTCGAAATAAAATATATCACAAAAGTTTTGGTACACCTAGTATTACTTATTGGATTCTATCGTAGTTTTTTATATATACGATTTGGACATAAATGTGTTTGGATTCTTAATTGTCTCCTAATTGCTCATCCAACCATTCGACTTGATGTATCATTAAGATAATCATGAAGATGTTCAACATTCTTTCCATTGTACCATTTTTGTGCACGAAGATCTCTCACGAAATCCTTTTCTAATCATTTCCAATATTCGTTTATTGATGAAATCTAAAATTAATTCAATAAATCGATAAAATAAAAAAAAAGAGAAAAGACAAACTTTTGGATAAGGAAAAGATTTTCGAAAATGGTGAACTTGAAGTGATGCATTGCCACGTAGAAAAAAAGGAGCAAAAATAAAATTAAAATCTGTTTTCTTTTAAAAATTACAGAAAATCGGTAAAACTTAATTAACACGGGAAAAAATCGATTGAAACGGATGAGATTTCGAATTTTAAACGATTTTCATCCAGTAAATCCATTAAAATCAATTTTTCCACGCGCGATCAAAATAATCGATTACAATCGTCCTTTTCCCGATTTTTTTACATAGGAGTTTCCTCTTTTCTTGACGCAACCATGAAAATGGTTTAAGACTTCAAAATTTCAAATTATCATAATAAAAGTTCACCTTTATCCCGATCTACAAGTAGTACAGAGACAGGCCTATCATCCAGGTATGTCAGTTTTACTTTCATAGCAAGAATACATTAGAATTTCTGCCTATTTTTTCACGAAAAAAATGAAATATAACACGATTCAAGACTAATTTTTTGAGTGAAATTAGGCAAAAAATCGTTTTCAGACGTTTGTCGCTCGAAAAATAGAGTTTATATCATTCGCAAACAGAGTATCTCAAAGATTGCAACACGTTTCATAATCGGTCGGTAGCGTACTTTTTCGGTTTTGAAGACAGTTTTCTTTATTTTTGTGATTTTAAATCCTTCCCATGGGAGGGTGATCGATGGCTGGCCATGCCGATATGCAATTCCATATTGCTATGAAAGAGATTTTAGATTTTATTTAAAAACTACTTATGAAAACTTCTTGACCTTTCAATGAATATCACGCGACATTTTCTGAAGGATCAGAGATAATGTAAAAGTTACATGTACTAAAGAAACAGAAACAGAACGAAAGAATGTATGGGAACGAAAATGAATACATATTTTCGAAAGCAAAAAGAACAGAAATTAAATATTCAAAAATATCTTTTCCTTTTTTTTCCTCATACATTCTTTTATTCTTTTCCTATTTTTTAAGACATATAACTTTTACTTTATCTGTGATTCTTCTGAAAATACCGAGTGATACTCATCGAAAGCTCGTGAATTTTTATAAATGAATTTTGAATAAAATCTAAAATGTATTTCGTAGCACTATGGTATTTTTTATTAAAATATATCAATCCTTCATTATTATTTCCTTCGTTTATAAATGCATTCTTTTTAGAAAAAAATGACCGACACCGATATTCAACGAGTTCGAAGCGATGTAATACAATAGAAAAATATCTTATTCAAAATCAGTTTCTTTTATTTAGATCGCCAGAAACAATCAGCTGATACAGCAATATGAAAGTGAAATATCAGCACTCGAAAGCCGATTAACTGGTAGTACAATTACCGATGATGAAAAGCAAAGGATTAACGCCGAAATTGAACGGTTAAAAGGATTATTACAAGATTATAAGGATGCCCATCAAGGAGCAGAAAAGGAATTAGGTAAAATCAAAATTCTGAAAGTTCATAACGACTATAATAGCTAACGAAATCAAAAAAAATGTTTTCCTTTCTCAATTATAAATTCGAATCGGGATAGGACTATTTTATAAGATTGGAAGAAACAAAGAATATGCCTGACATATCAACCAGATTCTGTTCATATTAATCGACTTTCAATAGAGGATTGGCACCGTTTCCAGTGCGTTACCTTGTGTATTTTCGAAGTCATCTTATACAGTTGAAGCTTCATTTATATTCAAACTTGAATTGTGCAACTCATGTAATCTTTATTTTTTAGCTGAACTCGAACAACAACATCGACAAGAAGCCAACAAAGAAAACTGAATGTTTTTTTCTTGTCGAAACAATCTTATGGTGCTCATTCGTAACAGTGCTTGCGCGTTGTCTTTATTTTTACTCACACTTATGCTGGTCTTGCTCGTTACTCGTTCTTTTTATTACCTGCTGATTTACTCGGTTAATATTCATCCATAATCATATCAATAGGTCTTGCTGGTTCTTTTATTAGCTGCTACTCCTACTCGATCAATATATATTACTTTTTCGTTGCAATTTAGTGAAATACTCATCTGTTTCCTTAAGGATGAACATGCTTGTAGGATTTTTTTTTAAACAAATAAAAAACAACAAAAAAAATATTTTTTCTTCTCTTTTTCATTTTCGTTTATTCTATTGTTTGTTGCAAACGAAACAATTGTCTTTTATTTCCTAATTCTGATTCCAAAAGTTACAATAATTATCAATCTACAATAAAGGAAAATAAATGTAATAGTCTTTCGAACCGACAATTGTTCTTTCAATAATTAATCGTGTCACATTAGCACAATTACGTCGTGTTATTTCTCTTGTAAAATCTTTTGTAATAATTCTTAATTCTTCATATCGAACCCGTAATTTGGACAGACGAGGTAGATGTGTTTTGGTTTCATTTAGAAACTGTTCGACGTAATAACCATTTGCCCATGAAATATCAAGGAAAGTAAGATGAGGATATTCAACGATTTCATATGATTGAATAGTGTTGTCAGATAATTTCTCCACATCATATGATAGTGGTCTACAATTCATTACACAAAAGCTTTTCAGCTTTGAAAAAGCTTTACTTATTCGTAGAAAGAATTCATGTTCAAATGAAAACTCATCATGTACACATAAGTCGATGACATGAGTGAATAAAATATTTGGAAATATATTTCCAATATATATGAGCTGGGGAAACTGGAAAGGAAGTGTAAAGATATGATATGTAGCTGTGTTAGCAACAAATTGAACAATATTCGATACTTCTTGATAGCCTATGTTCACATAATTTTGTTTAATATCATTATTGGACAAATAACGAACTAAATCATTTCTGTTATTCTTTGTACTAAGATAAAACTTGAATGAATGAAGTCGTGACATATGCATTGAAAATTCATTTATGAGATGAATTGGATCAATGAATATACGTTCGAAAACGAGACGCAAATACAAAGTTAATTTTTCCAAGTTTATCATACGACGAAGATGAGATACAATTTTATTATCATATTCTTCAATTAAACCATAATGTATTAATGAAAAACACTTTAGATTAGGTAGATTATCCTATAGAATGAAAAACGATATTATTAAGAAATTTCTTTTATAATATTAAAGTATAATCATTTATATCAACTTAATTGAAAACTGTTTCTATTTAGATAACTGTTTTACAATTTAATCCAAATAGACCTTTTATTTCTTATGTTACAGTTTAGTTTTCTATAGAGAGACAATTAATTCTATTTAGTAATCTGTAATAATTGAAATATTACATTAATCAATGGATATAGAAAAAGATGACTTCTATTTTCGCTATATTCATTTTTTTTGGTTTTTGCTCGTTTTATTGTGACACTCGGAAGTGCTTACAATGAACGTAGTACAAGAGCAGTAACAGGAAAAGAAAAGAATGAAAAGACAGGGAACACTAAAGGGGATGATATAGCAAAAGAACGAATAAACAATGACAATGAAACGGGTAGAGAAGAACATGTAACAGATAAGGTAAATGTTTGGTATAAGGAGAGCGGTGAAAGGACTAGCAGCTTTACACGTCCGTTCTTTCCTATTCTTCTATTATCACTAAGATCAGGAGTTCTAACCAATCCAATAGGAACGAGCGGTGCTTTGATCTGAAATGTTTAACACGTTTCAACAAGAAAAGATGACCCGTGCCGTCATTGGCTTGCTTACAAAAATTATCCCAATAAAAGACATCTTCTAGAAATAATGAGAAGCCTAAATCGGAAGAATATATCTTTTTCAATCTTCTCGAGATACAGTGTTTGACATAATTATCAAGCGATTCTTCTCGAGTAAATGTAAAAAGATCTGCTGCGCGCACAACAGGGCTCCGAATGAGTCGGCCCATGGGCCGAGAGTGTTTCTAAGTTTGCTGGGAAAGAATATTGGGTGGAACAATTTTTCGACGTGATTCGATGAGAGGATTACTGTGTCTATTTGGTGAAACTATTTTTTTGACCGTAAGTACTTTTTTCTAATTGTGACAGCTGTTTTTTGAGAAATTTTTGCGCTAGTCATCTGGCAAAGCTCGAAGTTTCGGAAAAAAGAGCTGTCATAATTAGAAAAAAGTACTTACGGTGAAAAAAATAGTTCCACCCAATATTCTTTCCCAGCAAACTTGAAAACACTCTTGGCCCATGGCGGCCCATTCGGAGCCCTGGCGTACAAATGCGGCACGATGAACTAAACGTATTGCAACTCTAAACTTTCTTCTAAGTGCTTCTTGATGAGTTGGTGAAAGGAAGGGAAAGAAGGAGAAGATCCAAGAGAAATAGGGAAATGTATAAGCGAAAAAACAACTTCTCAAAACGTCTTTGAACAATTTTTTTTCGAATCGCAGCCACTTCAGCTTACAGAAAGACCTTTGGATGTTCTCGAGGCTTCTGTTTACTGTAGGACTCATTGATAGCTTACTATTCCAAGTGTAACCGAGGTACTTGAACGAGTCAATTATTGTAATTTTCTGACCTAGCAAACGTATGTCGACTAATGAATTCTATTTTCTTTGTATTCATCTGACTATTCAATAAATGTTCATCTAATTTCAAACGAGATATGATTGATTATATCATAAAATATATATTTAAAGAAATAACAATTGACAATCGGTAACTCCTACATCTGTACATAATTATTAAGATGTTTGCAATTTAAAAGTCAAGCAGACATTTTCTTTTCAACTTTTTCATACATGTTTCAATAGAGCGCGAGTAGATGATTATGAAAAAATTTCTTTAAGTCTCAAAAAGACAAAAAAATCAAGTAGATCAATTTTTTGAAAATCGATGAAACTCTGTATTTTACTTTTTTATCAGCTTATGAAACAATTTTATTTGTATGGCAGTGGGGGATCTAGGATTTTTTGAATGGGGGCGATTTTGGTCAGAAAACGCGTTTGCGACTTCGTTTGAGGTAAAATCGATTTACTCTTAGGTCTTTTCTGCTGGAAAAAATCGAAAAAAAATATGAGAACAGCGGCGATCGCCCCAGCACCCCCTAAATCCGCCACTGTCGTATAGAACATCAAAAACTGAGTATCGTGCTGTCATTTGTGTCCAATCGAGTGCTCATTAGCCATTTTTGCAAACCTGTCTAGTTTTCTTGGTTAACTGGAGAACTGAAATATTTTTCTCATTCGATTCATCACATCATTAGTGATAAAAGTATGCATCGCTTTTCTTTCTCTTTTATCTTCGCTGTTGAGAAATATCATTTTTCCTCAATTCTATACAATTGGTTTGAGCCGATTTAATGTCATTTTTATATTTAGGAGGAAACATATCTAAGTGTCGCGAACGCCGTTCAAGCCTCGATTTTGGCTATAAGTAGGACTCAATTAGATCAAGAGAAACCTAAAAGGATTCGAGCCCATGGCCTATTGATCAAGAGTTATGATCATTTTAATGAATTTTTGGCTTTTCCGTAGGTATTCACTAGAAAGTCAAATTAGTAGATTTCGATCTGAAAGGAGGGGGGCTCATAAGACCACAAATCGGCCCATCGAAGTTTTTTCAAGGGACCACTTTGGAAACTATACAGATCAATAGATCTCAGAAAGATGAACATTTTGGTGCTATTTTCGATATACTTTAATAGTATTTTAGGTACTCTTTCAACTCCCATTAAACAGCATTTTTCTACATTTTTTACCATTTCTGCCCTTCAGACCATATATCAATATATGCATATATACACAACTTGTCTCAGCTCAAAGTACATGAAACGGTAGGAAATCTACGTGACTTTAAATATATAATGATTTTCTAAACGCTTTATAAGTACATTCTCACAAAAACGTCGTAGTATTTCAAATTATTGACAATTTGTTACTCATTTATACGTTCTACGAACATACTATTTCCACTATATCTTAAGAAAAACAAAATACCTGTTCGTGATTTTTTCACCATAGGTAGAGGGAAGTTAGCTCTTTGAAATGATAAGAACATGTCAAGTCCACGAGCTTGGCCATTTTTTTTATTCGGACATCAATGGTCACAAACAGGTGAAATTGGGTCTTCGTGACCACTCACGGAAGAATATCTCAAGAAAAACAAAATACCTGTTCGTGATTTTTTCACCATAGGTAGAAGGAAGTTAGCTCTTTAAAATGATAAGAACATGTCAAGTTCACGAGCTTGGCCATTTTTTTTATTCGGACATCAATGGTCACAAACAGGTGAAATTGGGTCTTCGTGACCACTCACGGACGAATATCTCAAGAAAAACAAAATACCTGTTCGTGATTTTTTCACCATAGGTAGAAGGAAGTTAGCTCTTTAAAATGATAAGAACATGTCAAGTCCACGAACTTGGCCATTTTTTTATTCTTTTTATTCTGACATCAATGGTCACAAACAGGTGAAATTGGCTTTGTATGACCACTATTTTGACAATATCATAAGAAAAGCGTAAAGATTGTTCAAAATTTTTTTTTGTAAAATATATCCCAGCTTATGAATCCATCAAGTATATCATACAACCAAGATAGAAGTAGCGATACCGTTTTGAATCCAGAGTTTTGGTTCAGAGAAAGAAACAAAACCATTTCATTATCTTAATTGTTTCGAAGATGAATATAAGAATGTAGAATTCTTATAGATGTGCAAATATTTTGATCTTCTAAAAAACTTGAAAGAGATTCAATTGCTGTTAGACGTTCGATTTTTTGAAATCGCTTTGTGAAATAGTTAAAGTACCATGGAAACACTTAAAGATGATCTTACGACGACAGTGGTTTACAGTACTCACCGTTTGACCATCCAATCCATGACGATGATATTCGATAACCAATTAAAGATGATGACATTGATAATAACGATGAACCAGATGATGCTACGGAACATAGCAATACTGATTCGGATGAATGTTGATAACAATCTCGAATACATTAGTACTCTATGTATCGTTTGAAACTATTGTAACTGCATTTCTGTTCTAGATGAAAATATGACATATTAATGTAAGACGTTGTTTAGTATTATTGATAGTTCCCATGTTCGATATTAGGCATGTGTCATCGTAAGATAGTTTTTGAGTATTTGTATTTTAATTTGGCTATTTGAAAAACGGGTTACAAATAATCCAGTATTTAAGAGCGAGTGAATTTCTTTCAGATTTTCCAGAATCTTGAATATTTACATGACTATAGGAATTCTAAATTATAATATACATGCTCGAATCCATTAGAATAATGGAATACTACAGTATACCTGTCTGAACCAAAAGTCTTCATTCAAAGAATGAATTGTTAGTTCTATCGTGCAAGTACTAGATATTTAATGTATTGATAAGCTGGAATCTATTTTTAATTATGATAGAAAAATCGAGAATAGGTATTTTGTTTTTGTTGAGGTATAACCTAACCAGTGGTCATAAAAAGTTGCTTTCAAGTGATTTTGATCATTGATGCCAAATGAAAAAATCACGAAGAGGTATTTTGTTTTTCTTGAGATATTGTGTAAACAGTGGTCATACAAAGCCAATGTCACCTGTTTGTGACCATTGATGTCAGAATAAAAATAAATGCGAAAACCTCGGATTTAAATCGGAGTGTTATGTGTACTTCAAAAAGTGAAGAGGTATATTCACTTTGTCTTTTATCAACTGAGACATATCTAGCCAATTCGCTTTTCGCATGCAGTTTTTCTGCATTTTGAGACCTTTTTCAGGGGATGTTTTGTTAGAAAGCTACGATTTGGCTCAAAACTAATATCGAATTCGGAATCAGCGTTAAAAACTGAGTCGATTTATATATGTTGTGAATAATTGTGAGAAAAAATTTTCTTTTGGAAAAATCCCTGTACCCCCTCTCAGGGATGGTCTTCTCAATTATGACAATTTTTTCGATAACTCAGCCATTTCTTGACGGATCCTGCTCATCTTCGAACTCGACCGAGACATTGTTAAGACTGAACTGTGTAGAAAATTTCATCGCAATTGGACTCTCCTTTCAAAAGTTATCGTGTAAACGGACAGCCGGACACACTGACCGATTCTAGAGTGCACTCACTTTTTGAGTACACAAAAATGGCCAAGCTCATGGACTTGACATGTTCTTATCATTTCAAAGAGCTAACTTCTCTCTACCTATGGTGAAAAAATCACAAACAGGTATTTTGTTTTTCTTGAGATATTCGTCCGTGAGTGGTCACGAAGACCCAATTTCACCTGTTTGTGACCATTGATGTCAGAATAAAAAGAATAAAAAAATGGCCAAGTTCGTGGACTTGACATGTTCTTATCATTTTAAAGAGCTAACTTCCTTCTACCTATGGTGAAAAAATCACGAACAGGTATTTTGTTTTTCTTGAGATATTGTGGAAATAGTATGTTCGTAGAACGTATAAATGAGTAACAAATTGTCAATAATTTGAAATACTACGACGTTTTTGTGAGAATGTACTTATAAAGCGTTTAGAAAATCATTATATATTTAAAGTCACGTAGATTTCCTACCGTTTCATGTACTTTGAGCTGAGACAAGTTGTGTATATATGCATATATTGATATATGGTCTGACGGGCAGAAATGGTAAAAAATGTAGAAAAATGCTGTTTAATGGGAGTTGAAAGAGTACCTAAAATACTATTAAAGTATATCGAAAATAGCACCAAAATGTTCATCTTTCTGAGATCTATTGATCTGTATAGTTTCCAAAGTGGTCCCTTGAAAAAACTTCGATGGGCCGATTTGTGGTCTTATGAGCCCCCCTCCTTTTGCCCCAAAATATGTCTAATGATCATTGAAATACCCTGAAAGTTTCAGCGTAAACAAACGACTCTTTACGGAAATATTGGATTTTCATGTAAACTCGATTTTTGAGACACGCCGGTGAAACTCGATTAGTTTTTGAAAACTGAATGTTCCGGTAAAGGATCGTTCGTTTGAACTAAAACTTTCAGGATATCTCAAGAATCATCGAAATCTAGTAATCTGACTTTCTAGTGAATACCTTCCGGCATGGCAAAAATTCATTAAAATGATCATAACTCTTGATCAATAGGCCATGGGCCCGAATTCTTTTAGGTTTTTCTTAACCTAATTGAGTCCTACTTATAGCCAAAATCTGGGCTTGAACGAAGTTCTACACTTAGATATGTTCTCTCATTAGTTTTTGACGCTCTATATGAAAAAGAAGCTTCATTAGCTGAAAAAATAGTAAAATACAAAGTTTCGTCGATTTTTTTCAAAAAATGATTTACTTGATTTTTTGTATTTTTCGGGTCTAAAGAATGTCTTTCATGATCATCTGCTTGCGATCTATCGAAACATGTACAAAAAAGTTGAAAAAATAATCGCTCGAGTTTTGAGTTGTGGGAACCTTACGTTGTTCAGATTATTAGAGTAAGATTGAAAAATTCATCTGTTTCATCGCATTAATCAAAACTTAACAATTTCAATTCTTCTGAATGATGACTGGTTCTCAGACAAGTTGAAAGAAAATGCAAGAACTTTTACATATCTTTTTTTCAAGTCTTTTCATAGTTCTCAAAATTAGAAAATATACTATTCGCTTCTAAACCCTTGTAAGAGCAAATTTTCTTTAAAACCAGTTTCGACTTTGAGACTAAAACTGGTCTTACATATTTCTATTGCTTTTCTCAGAATTCTTCATTGTTTCCAATTTATAGGTGAGATTTTATTCGTTTGAGAAGCTCAAAAAGATAAAACATACTTACTAAATTATGAACAACTGATGAATCTGTATCCATTTGATAAAATTGAACAATCAATGTACACAACTGTTTGAGACGACCATCAAGTAAACAAACAAAATCAGTAAAAGTTTGCACATTAATACATAAATAAGTAAGAGTTGAAGAAGAAAAAGTATTTGATGGTAAATAACGAATTGACAAGCTTGGATATACAAAATTTGATGACGCAGTAACATTCAGATGCTCTAACTTTTCGCAGTAAGTCAAAATATGTGCGTACACTGTTTTTGTATAAACTTTCGATAACATTATCTCATACCCATCATCTTTATGAATAAGATCAAGTTTTGTAATTTGTTCTTTGAGGATATGTTCAAGCGATGAATTATCTAAATTAAAAGACAATTACGAAACATTGTATTATCTATTCTTATTGTAATCTTTCAATTAATGAAATTATAGAATATATGTTTACCTGTGAAATAATGTAATGAACTATCACGTTGAAAATTAAAAAGTTTTAATTCAGTCAGATTTGGATAAGGAGTAGCAAGAAGAATACGTTCCATGAATTCTGGTTCAACAATGAAACATTTCACATTGAAATAAATTCGAGGGAATATATAATCACAGAATCGATCAAGTATTGAATCAATTATTGTACTATTTTCAGTAATTAATGCAATATTAAGACTATTAAAAAAAAACTCATCTTCTATTATTTTCTCAAGTCGTTCATTATTAATGCCAAAAAATGAATAAAGAACATCAACATTTTCAAGTTTCTTTAAAATATTAAATAACATTTCATTAGGTAAATCAAGAAGATGAACACTAGACAAATTCATGTTAGTACTTCTTCAGATCAACGACACCCCTCTGTCATTGGTCGTGTGACAAAGAGGAAAGGAAAATTTTCCTTTCCTCTTTATCATACGACCAATGAGAGAGGGATGTCGTTGATCTGAAGAAGTACCGATAGAGGAATTCGTGCTAAAGAAGATTGGATAGCTGCTGGAAAATCAACATGCACATCACATCAGATGAAAATGAACGATTGCAATTGTTTGATTACATTAATGAATTATCTTGGCGCGAGTTTACTTAATCAAATGTTTTATGAAAACTTATTTTAAAAAATAACAATTATTTCTTTATTTTTTGCATACAAAGAATATTTTATTTTGTTCATAGTTTTTTCTACGTCTTATAAATAGATGTTTCTTGAAATATACTATAATTGTGATAGTGTGTTGGATACATTCATATCCGATGTTTTAGTATGTATTGAACTAGCCATCGAATTTCTTCGGTCACATGTGATCTAGTTTTAAGTTCAAGTTTGCGAAGATTAAGTCAATTTAATATTGATGGGGAAAAAGTTAAAGTTCTATTAGCAGGACAATGTGCATCTCGCCAAGAGATCACTAATGACATGATTGTTAGTGTCATGTTCGAATACAAACGTTGACTTAAAACTTCTGGATTAGTGTTAATAAGAATAATCGAATAAACTGATCGATGTTAAACAATGAAAAAACAAGACAATCGAATTTCATCTGAATTTCTTATTTTCATAAGCAATCGTTAATGAAAGACGGTTTTTGAGTAGAATAAATCAACAAATATGATGGAGACTGGTTTTTGATATTGAACAAAACTCTGGCTGATAATAATTTCAAATATTAGATATTATTCGAAGATATGTAATACATTAGAAAATAATAGGAAAATAATTTATATATATGAAGATAGTCAGTAATATACAGTGCGCCTCAATTGCTTTTCCCCTCTTGATATTGTTTTGTTTTTATTGCTATAATTCTTTTATTTATTAACCTATTATATATAGGAAGAAATTCCGGAACACGCTGCATCTTTTGGTATATTTACATTAAACCTCAAATGCAACTTAAAGTCTAAAAGATGTATTAGAAAAAAAAGTGACATTTTTTTTCACTACAAGGTGTCCACAATATGGTAACATTTTTTATTTCGCGTATATCTCGGCTTTGGTAAATGATAATATTTTGAATTTTTTTCCAGAAGATGCGCCGTGAAAAGCTCTACAAAAACTGTATAATCAAATTCCTTTTTGCCTGTTCTGATGGTTTTTCTTATACTCAAAATGAAAAACCCATATGACAGTGCCACTATCCATCATATTGAAAATGTTTGAAAGACTTTTTATTTTGTATATATCTTGACTTGAGAAAATGATGGAATATTGAATTTGTTTTTGAAAGACGTGCCGTCGAAAGCTCTACAAAACACGTATAGACCAAATCCTATAGTGAATCAGAAAAGTCCTCAAAATATTTTCTATATGATGGAAAGTGACACTGCCATGTAAGTTGTTCATTTTGAGTATAAGAAAAACCATCAGAACAGGCAAAAAGGAATTTGATTATACAGCTTTCGTAGAACTTTTCACGGCGCATCTTCTGGAAAAAATTCAAAATATTATCATTTACCAAAGCCGAGATATACGCGAAATAAAAACTGTTACAACATTTTGGACACCAGGTATTGTAGTGAAAAAAATGTCACTTTTTTTTCTAATGCATCTCTTGCACTTTAAATTGTATTTGATGTTTAATGTAAATATACCAAAAGATGCAGCGCGTTCCGGGCTTTCTTTCTATATATAATAGGTTAATAAATAAAAGAATTATAGCAATAAAAACAAAAAAATATCAAGAGGGGAAAAGCAATTGAGGCGCACTGTAATATAATCTAGAGGTCTCAATAAATAGAGTAAGCTGAAAATACCGAAATGAATAGGAGGATCTACAAAACAAGCACGCAGAAAAAATAATGTAATGTAATATGTTAATGGAATTTTTAAATATGGTAGAATATCTCTTCACCGGCATCGATTTTTTTTCACAAGAAATCAAAAGCAATCAGTTTGTCTTAGTTTATTGAATTATCTACTGCATTATCTCTGTTGCTTAATGTTTATGTTCAAAATCATAAAATCTAATATATTTTAATTCTTTTTTTGATCATGAAATTAAAAGAGACTAAATAAAATAAGTTTACATAATCTATTGATAATTCTGCATAATTTCCTGTAATTTGGACCCTTGAAATAGCTCTCAAGTTTAATTTGATCAGTTTTTGTCATAACAATGACCTAGTTTTAATAATAGAACTTATCCTGTATTAATGTGTAATTTTTCTCTAATATGAAATACGATATTGAAAATCTTATTGCTCTTCTATAAAAACTATTAAATTGTGATTACTTTTATAATTTATAAAGGATATGATAATATGAATTAGGATGAATATTATATAGTGAAAACAAAAGAGAAATTGAATAAAATATATTGTGTGTTGTTCATCAAAATTTGGTTACTTGGTCTTCAGTTGAAAAACAGCATAATATACCGCTAGAGGATTAGACGATACGTTTCTATCATATTCAAGTGTACTTTTAAGACGAAAACCAGCATTCTCTATTTTTTGTTGCCAGTCAGCACGTGTTCGATATTGAATTGAACTCGTATATTGAATGATTTTTAATTTTTGTTGTTGCCACTCAGTCTTATGGCATATAGAATCATCATCAGATTCAATTTCGTCTTTTTTCAAATGGTTTTCTCCTACACCAGCAAATTCACCAACACGTGCAATCATCATGAAAGCATGAACAAAATTGAGATATTTAGCTGTAAGTGAGTATACCTTTTTGCAATCATTCTCGCGTATGATAAGATAACCATCTGATCGTAAAATACGAACAATGTCAGAAAGCATTGATTCCAAATGAGGAACATGATGAAGAGTGACGAAGTATGTTACAAGATCAACACGATTATCCTCTAGATAAATAATGAAAGATTTGAACATGGAAAAATAAATCGACATCAACAAATTATTTCAAATATGTACTGTGTCCTTTCTGATTATATTTCACTGCACTTATACAATTAATATAGATTTCTATTCGAATTTTAATTTGATCTATTATGAAATATATCAAATAGTTACTTTTTATACACAAATCCTTTTCTTTCTCTCAATTATCTAATGAGAATTCTTTGTTCTATCATGTTTTGTTTTGAGTACGCAGAGTATGAATGAATCAATTCTAGAAAATAGTGGGATGTACTTTGAATAAATGAAACAAAAAATTACCAAGATCAATGGTCGATTGATTTAAATTAACTTTTACGAATGTCACTTTGTCATTTTGATAATCATAGTCGGTTCCACCAAAAATATTTTCTTTATTCAATTTTAAATACTCGCCAATCTCAGCTGTAATCCAACCATGACGACAAATCATATCAAAATAGGCATTAATCGATGCATGATTAATAATTTCTTTTATATCAGATGGTGATGACATCTTCAAACTACCAAGTGATGATGGGTCAGCATGATTGAACTCAAACATAGCTTTGATTTCGACTAAACGGTGATCAGATCGAGATTGACATTGCCATTCCCGAAGTGAATTTTCAGTACCTAAGAAATAGAGTCAGTATTGAAAGATTTTTATTTCTTAATAGATGAACCAGGTTGTTTCTCGAGTTTTTTTATTATTGTATACAGTAGATTGAGTTCACCTGACTTATTAAATCCAATTCTTAGTGGATCCAATACACGACGTATGTTATATTTTTGTCCATAGACTCTACCGATATATGAAAGCAATTGATATCAATATTTTTCACTTGTCCATAAAGAATAATTATCGTCTCGAGAATCCATCCAGCGAGCAAACTCAGAGTTTTGAGATTCAAATGAGCATCCTGCAAAAAATGATTTGTATTGATTTATGTAGCTACTTTTTGAAAATGAAATAAATATTAATGAGAATTACAATAATTTAACATACTTATCCAGTATTAATTCAATGACAATCATTAAATAGAAGCTTTGAAAAACTTCTTCACTGCAGGAAAGCCTTGCATAGCGAGCACCTCGTGATCTGACGAACTGAATTTTACTTAAATTGACTCTCTCTATAGTTGACATCGTCATATGGTTCTATAGTGAATACTTTAAAAGTCTTAATGGTGTCTGCGGCAAGAACTTTTTACTTTATTTTAATAATATGTAATTTTCCCAGACAAAAAAATTCATGAAAAGACAAGTAACAGTGAATGAAAGTTAAGTAGTTTTTTGTTTACTAATACCTTTCAGATACCTAGAAACCGTATCTGATCGTTGTAGAGAAAAAAACTGCTTTTAGAAAAGATTCAGTTTCTGTATTATGTGCATTTTTGAAAAGTCTGAAAACTATCTCTATAGAAAGATTATACTATAGTTTCATTTCGTGACTTTTAATTGAATTTTCTTCCTTTTGAAGTGTTTTAACATAATATCATTTCACTTAAATTTTTTTGATGATTTTATTTAAATCAAAATGATTACAATCTTATCTTTCTAAGAAAAATTATTTCTACATTGTATTGATCGGATAGCTTTACTACTACAAAGTAACTCACTTTTTTCTTTGCTTTCTATGTACTTTGTTGTATCTTTGATCTTTTGTGTCATTATGAGATTTTTTACTTGACATCGTCGATTGTAATACATCTAAAATATATCAATATGTTTATGCTTACCTATATTATGGTAGAAATCTAAGTATTGTGAATTTGTCTCACTACTTCTGCTAGCTACTCGTTTTAATATTATACTTGTATTATCTTTTAATTAAGACAAAAAATCAAATGAACTTTTACTTTGAACTTTTTCATTGATAAATTTTATCTTTAGAATCAACATACTTACTAATAATTATTTCAAATTTACTCTTGTTTTCATTGATACTTTCTTTATTCACTATATTAGCATTTTGAATCGTTTGGATTTTATTCATATGATTGTTGTTTTTTAAATACAATAGTCATTGCTTCTCTATATGAATTTCTTTATACTCTTACGTTAGAAACGACTACTGCTTTGATTTGATTCGATTAAAATAAATGATTACCTAATTGTACAATTTTATCCGGTTGTTCTTTTTCACCATTAGCATCGTTCTTACAAGTTATGTTATCTTCAGATTTAATGTTTGATGTCGAATTCTTAATAGATAATGAAAAGAACTATTAATCTTTTTTGGATCAAATAATTACCTGGGTTTGGTTTTCCCTATCTACTTTTGTATTAGTCGTTATTACAGACTGCATTGTATTTTCTTTGAAGTTATGAGACTGCAAGTCTGACAAAAACAAATAATGAGAGTATCAGCAAACAACATAATTCCGATTTATTTCAATGCTTTCTATTCAAATAAAATGTTCGAATTCTTTTTACTTCAATGATGGTACTAATCAATCGTTAAGCAAAGTTAAAATTTAATAAGTTAAGACCTCCCTCTTCGAGAAAGTCAGTTTCATCAGAATCGTCAAAATAGAGATAAATTCATGGGGAGATAGCCTGTCATTTGTTCTTTCATAAACAATAAAAAATTTTCTTCAATACTTTTTTTCCCAAAAGTTTTTCGAGATCCCCTATTCAAAAAATTACCGATTTTTTGAAAAATCCAAAAAAATCTTTTTCGTTTCTTCTCACTTTTTGCTATCTCAAACACGCATCCAAAATTGCTTTGTCCAGGTTCGTCCAATATATTTAAATTATTTTTTGTTTGAAAGAACATGTAAAGATGCGCAAAACATGACGAAGCCTGATTTTTTAAATTAGGTCTTTTTTTGATTATATATATATGGACATCTATATAAATTGACAGCACTTTTTCGAGGGCTTTTTTAGTCATCAAACTTTCGATTCCTGTTTTACGCTTGAAAAGTGAGTATTTAAAAAGTCGGGCCTCGTCACGCCCTGCACCNAGGAGCATAACAATGAATAGCGTATAATTTTGTGGGGCCGTACGAATTGTTTTATTAAACAGAAAGGAAATGATAATCAACAGATAGCAGAGATACGATGGAACCTCAAAGGATAGTATAACGACAAATTTCACTAAATTTGGAATTTGTTGAAAATAACTATTGTCCACAAAACTGCTGTTATCGCTCATATTTTGTTTTGTACTCGATATAAATTGATTCATTGCTCGCTATAATTTACTAAGCCAGATGAAAATATTTTTACCAGCAAATATCATAGTTTTGTTCTTCTATTACATTGATTTTCTGTTTCCATCTACTTCCAAATATATATCTTTTTGAAGAATCATTCTCTTGAAATGAGCTTACTAAATAAAAATAAGTTGCACGTCATATTTTATTTGTAATTACACATTTTCAAGAGTTCAGACGTGTAAATAATATGTTTTGAGTTGAATACACATATACAGAAGCCTTTGATAATTCATTCAGTGTGCCCGTGTGGAATCAATTGAGGATACCGGAAACAAAAAAATATTACTTGTGACAAGAAAACTCCAAAAATCATAGATTGTCTAATTTTTCTAACAGTTCTGAGAGCCAAACGCACACATTTCAAATGTAAGGAAGTTGTTGAAAATATTCGTGGGACAATCCGGCAATATAGAAAGAGAAATTGGAACAAGTTCATGTGCAAAACCTTGTATGTTAACTGATGATCTTTACTCGATCATACCTATAGATCATTCTACAGTTGGTTCGAACACAACAATGTTAAATGCCTTGAAAATGAAAAACAAACTGTTAGCACACTACCTGTGAGATTGATATGTGAAACACACTGTAGCTGTTGGTGCTAATTTCATGACGTTTCTTTTATTCGATCTAGTATTTGGGATACATTTCTTCATCGGCATTTATTGAATTCTCTAGAACTGCAATAACGAAATAGGTCATATATTCTAATGACATGTTAATGATATATGGTCTGTAGGATGGAGCGACCATCCAAATTTCAATCTATATAAAGATCTCTACTCAGTTTTGATCATCTTCAGATAATATTTTTTTCTCAGATGCTTTTTCAGTATAATTGACTGATATTTACAGCGTCTACACTAGACATCTACATCTACTCTATGCTGGAATTTGAGCATGCTACCTGTTGCAATAACAGAGATACAAGTAAAACAACATTTATAGGAATTTTTTTTAGATTACTTTTACAAACACCATGAATGCAACAATTATAGCTATTCAACCTACTTTTCATAGCGAGTAAATTTTGGTCTTCTGCATATTACGTCTACGTCTTGCCATTTGTCATTTTCTAAAAATACCAAAGTGGTACCAAGTTCTCAAGATGATCAGAATAGCTAAATCTCAGATAACAGTGAGTGTGGGTGTCAGTGTGGGTAGGTCTGACTACTGGTGTGGTACAGTATTAATTAGACATTAACACCCACACCCACACCCACTCACACCCACACCCACTCACAACCACACCCACTCACACCCACACCCACTCACACCCACACCCACTCACACCCACACCCACTCACACCCACACCCACTCACACCCACACCCTTGTTACGCTGGGAAGTGCTTACATGGGGATGAACTTAGATTTAAAATTAAAGCATGCAATAGTCTATAGGAACATATGCAAGGGTTCATATTTTTGTCATCAAGCTATCATAGTACGCTTGGAGCCTTTTGGGAAGAGAAATCAAAAGGAAGATAACAAGAAAAAAGAACAAACATGAAGAAAGAAAAGAAAAGACCAGAGGAAAAACAACAATTGAAAGAGAATCTGAAAAAAAGAGAGAGCACTAATACAGAAAAGAAAAATCAAGAGACAGGATACATAACGGAGAAAAAAGGCAGATGAAGAAGATGAGAATGCAAGAAAAAAGAAAAATAACGGAGCACTTAAACAAAGGCACATCGATGCACGCATGAAAATTTAAGCGACACACTCAATCCATTTAAGCAATAGGGTCTCATGTCTATTTTTCAATTTTTTAACTCTTCCCATCCGGAAAAAATGACCTAAATTATCTCCGTCACTTTTGTTAAAATCATCTTAAAAGAAATATATCATTAAAAAAAGGAGAACGTCCTAAGTCCGATTTATAAATTTGCTTTAATCTTTTTTTAATGTATTTTTTAACGTAAAAATAGAGAGAATTTTCATTGGTTACGTGAATAGATTCTGTTCTAACACAATGGGAAACCGATGAACAAGTCTCATTCCTACTCGAAATTTACGCCTCAAAATTTCTTGATGAGTTTTGGGTAGTATTGGAAAAAAAGGAAAATGGTCAAACGAAGTGCGAGAATGTATAGACAAAGAAACATGTTCGTAAAACCGCTATTGATAAAGATTTTCCCGACCTTAACCATTTCAATTTATCAAGAGATTTCTGTATATTCTCGACACATCTGCCAATTGTTAGCTTTAAGGACAATTTAGTAGTCCAAGTAAATCCAAGATATTTAAAGGGCTTCACGATTTCCATCTTTTGTCTATCCATGAAAATATTTATTGGGGGTATGGTTACCTGCTAGTAGAAGATTTGGGCTACTGTTTTATTAATATCTATTGGTTGTTTCCATTTCCTTGAATAAGCTGAAATTTGATTACATACATTAGTTCCTTCGTTTTCTAAATATTCTATGCTATATGAATGATCTCTAAGAGCAAATAAAATAAAACAGAAAATATACCAATTATTATGAAGTTAGTCAGGACCAAAATGCTGATGTATTTTAACATCTCTCAAAGCAGATTCTGATTAAATAATCCAAAATATTTTTATAGATTGCTCAATCTTTCACATTTCTATCAAAATAAAAATGCATATTTGATGTATTATATGCAATTCGTCATACGATCTATATTTCAACTTTTTTTTTCCGTGGCTGTAAACTTTTTAACAGGTCTTTGTTAGACGCCAATAATTATACAAATTTGTCTTTTGAAGTAGACAATCATAAGAAAAAACAATAACAAGAATTGTTGAAAAGGACAGTTCTTTAATTGTATACATTTTAAGACGACATTTGAGCGAGACCAACGACATAAATTGGATGTTAACACTCTCTTACTGATATTTACCAACATTCACCAAGATCCACAGAATCCACGAGGATCCATTAGGAATCATGAGGATCCACAGAAACCCTCGGGTTCCACAGGATCCAGGACCCACTTTCCGCTCCTTGCTTTGACCACTCAGTAAAAGGATGTGCTCATATAGAGAGGTTTTACTGTGTTTTCTTTGACCTCTAACGCGCCCTGGAGTCTATTAGGCTCAGATCTTTTCATCTTCGTTTTGGCACACTTCAAATAATTTATTCTATAATTCATCAGGTTCTATCAGCATCCATCAGAATCCACCAGGATCCGCTTTTCCCCCCTTGAGTGTGATTGTCTAGAAACTGCTGCCTAGCATTCGAACTCAGATCTAAACCTGCAAACACCCACACCCACACCTTCAAGGAACCATCCAGAAAAGGAGAGTGGAAAGTCACTGAAAGTGGTACATTGTCGATCTTGGAAAGAACAGAGATCACGCGTAAGTGTCCGTTTGGACAATTATTACAGGTTTCTTTGCATTTGTTCGAGAATTTCTCACGACATATACATTCAATTTAAATTAGTTTTCATCTGTATTTTTACAATAGCCACGTGCCAAAATTTTATGAAGTATCATCCACAAATCAGTTATTTATATCAAGTCATTCAGTGAAAAAAGAAAGCAGCATGTTTGAACGAATTGGATCTTTCTAAAAACATTTTGAAAACCGAACATCAAATGGGAGGGAATGAAAAATGCAATTTTACCTAGCAGCTCTTTAAGACAGGCCCTGAAAGAGCAGACGGATGAATTCCATTCATACATTCATGAAAATATTGACCGCATTTTACTTTTATCAAGAATCAAAAACTGAGTTAAAAATATGCGAGCTAATTGATTTGAAGTCAATCATGTAAAAAAATCGATTGAACAGAGAAAACGTCATCGTACTTTTCAGCATGCATTGATAGATACTTGCTGTAAAATCCTTTCATGCTTTTGTAAGACATGAGAAAAAACTGAAGAAAATTGAAATTGTTTTGATTGAATGTGCCTATAGATCAGTGAAAAACTGTGCATCCTCTTTTCATCTACACTTATATCCGTACCCATATTTCAGGCTATTCTATAAAAATAAAATTATTTTTAAATTTAACAAAATTTTTTTCAAAAAATTTCACAGAGAATAATTTTGATAAAAGCAGTACGACGTTGTCGAGTTTTTTTGCATAAAATACAATTAATTATATGATATATATTTAAACATTCACTTACAAAGAAGAAATTTGTTTTTCGGAATTAGTTATAATCAAAGCCCCTGAAATGATGTTAATTTTCTTATATAAATAGTGTCCTGTATCAATGCAGATATGATTATTACACTTACCGGAGATTGAAATTTTCTTTATAAATGATGTAGAATACCGTTGAATTGAAATATTTGATGATTCATCAAACTTCTTTTCAAGTTTATTTAACTTATTTCTCAATTGATTCAAGTGAATTTCATTAAAGTCATTTTCTTGACGAATTCGTTCCAACTCGTGAATAAATTCTTTTAGTTCCTTTTCTATTTCAATAATATTGTCATTCGTGGATTCAAATAAAAATTTTTTACATTCTTCTGCTGTTAGTTTTATCTTCATAATTGAATCTTCTGCCCATTTATCGACCTGTTGAATTAATGAGCGTTGATTTTGATCTCCTTTTTGCTCAATAAGTTTTTGTTGAAACCAATCGCATTCAGTGATAGTTTTGTCGAATTCTTCGTCATTATTTTGACGATATTCATTCAAATGCGTAAAACAAAATTTTTGTGAGCATCCTTCGCATAGATAAACGACTTTCTCTTTATCGCAAACAAAACATTTAGCTTTACCAGTTGTCGTTGCCGTTGCCATTTATTGACCAACAATGACAACAAGAAGGGTATGTATTTGGTACTACTGCAGCTAAGAAACACTATCACTGTTAAGAAGTGCAGAACGGAAAAGAAATTTATTGGTGAAGCCCATAAACCAATGTTTCTCGATAAGAAAAATAATTAGAATAGATGCCATATAAGAACAAAAGAATTTTATTAAAGAAAAAAAATGAATTAGACTACAGCATAAAGAGAACAAATTTGTAGAACTAGCTTTTTAAATGGCTTATCACCAAATTCCTGACGCTATATAAATGCCTCTAAATAAGTGGGTAATAAATTTCGTGAAAAACCATCTTGTTTTTTTTTGTTTTTGTTTAACTTGCATCCAAGTATTTTGAATATTCTAGCTATGTACACCAGTTGTAGGATCAAGAAAACGTAGGAAATTATTAATTGTTAGATCAGTATAAACGGTATTATTCGATAGCTCAAAATAAGCCCTCCATTCAACAGAATGTATTATTGAGCCCACAAAATGTAGATCAGAGATGGGCACGGTTCGGTTTCGAAAAAACACGAACTGAACCCATCGAAAAACATTTTTTCAATGCATTTCTCAGCTTATTTCAAATTTCGGTTCGGTTCGGTTCATTTTTCGAAAAACACGAGCAGTGCCCATCTTTGATGTAGATGTATTCACAAATTACGTGATAAAAAATTCTATTACCTAGCAAGATAAATTCTTCAATAATCAGTATTAAAGTAGCTGCATCACGCTGGTCCATAGGGACAAAAAACATTTTCTTATTGTTAAACCAATCTCACCGCAAACCCGTTGTTGCGATGTAATTAAACGACCATGATTATATTTTCTTTTATCAAAACAACGTTCGTCAATTTCTACTATATGGCCTGGTCCTAAAACACTATTTCAAATTATTTTTATAAACTATTGATTGAAATTTACCTCGAATTTTTTGTGGAGCGTTCACATAATAAATTGCGCAAATATCGCAGCAGAAGTTTCTCGAGCCAATAATTGTAACGTAGGATATCTTAGGTTAGGATTCTACATGTTTCTGAATGGATTCGCCATACCCTACTCTCCAATTCGGAGATGCAACTCTCTAAGTAGAACCGGATGTGCTCAAAAAAAACTAGACCGGTTCCATCTCTGCCTGGGAGAGTTACAATTGGATCTTTAATAAACAAGGATATTCTTATACAAAAATATTAAAAACACATGAAAAGAATAAAAAGCGCATCGACTCCGGTTTCATTAGTAGTTTCTCAGGGTGTGAGTTTCGGATGTTACTGTTCTCTTTATCTAAGCCAACACCCGCACCCACAGCCACAGCCACACCCTTTGTCATGTCTTTATAGTTGAACGGTAAGAGCCTTGGTCCGGATAACCAATTATCATGTCATGGGTTCAATTACCGATTGAACCATATCTCTTGTTTTCTGTTTGTTTATCGAAAGTCAACGAAAATAAAAATCAGTATTGTATATATAAATAGCTAACGAATGATAATTTGGTTTCATTTTCTTTCATTGTACAATTAAAATACATATTATAATATCTTTATCGATCAATAAGCAATATGTAATTAATAATTATGTGGTTGCATAATCAACAAAATAGCAAATAAAGACGAGAGAGAGAATGAAACATAGTACACAATTTAATCATTTTTCTTTTTTTTTTCGATTGGATATTTATTGACTCAATCCAATGCACATGGAAAAAATCTGATGCAGCCAGAGGCAACTATAACGAAAAACGTTGAGAAAAAAAAATACCAAGAATACTTGAAGATTACGTTTATAATTGATTTTTCGTTTCTTTTCTTTCAAAAGAATGACGCTGATGAAAGAATTGTGAAATGAAAAACGAAGTGAACGAGCGATCAACACAAGACGTTCTTAAACTCGATCTATAGCAACCAGCCAAAAAAAATAGTGGCAACAGAAGAAGGAAGACACAACCGACAACGAGAGAAAGATTGTGAGGTGTTTTTATTTGTTTTCAACATAAAAGCTTCATAATCAACATCACTATAATAATGGATAAAAAAAAATTAAAACCAAGTACCAGTAGCTCATCATCAGCACCCACTACAAATAAGTCAAAAAACTCATCCACAGGAGCAGCATCAAAAAGTACGGGTGAAAATGCCGTAGTGTCCCAACCTGTTCGCCGAGTTATACAAAATTTCCTCCTGGTTTGGCTAGATGCCAATATTGATGCATCTAACGACGATTTCAAAACGTCAATACAACATTTACAGCATATTGTAGCATCAATAACAACATTCACAAATGCGCAAGAATGTGTCAAATTTCTCAATGATATTAAGAATGAAAAGATATTCATGATTGTATCTGGTACACTAGGGCAGCAAATTGTACCGAAAGTTGAATCATGGCCACAAATTGATTCAATTTATGTTTTTTGTGGAAATAAATCTGTTCATGAACAGTGGGCAAAGAAAATACTGAAAATCAAAGGCGTACACACCAAAATTGAACATATTTGTGAAGTACTCAAGATCGATCGAAATCGATGCGATCAAGCCATGATTTCGGTCAGCTTCAATGGTCTCGACCCACTATTTATGTATACACAATTATTAAAAGAAACATTCTTAGAAATCGAAGACGACGATGCAAACTCAATTAAAGACCTCGTCGATTATTGTCGTCTTCATGAAGATATACCTAAAGACGAAATAAAAAAAGTCCAGACTGAATATCGTGATCATACACCAATCTGGTGGTATACAGCCGAAACTTTTATTTATCCCATGCTGAATCGCGGACTTCGAATAATGGATATCGATATTATACTAAAGATGGGTTTTTTCATTCGGCATTTGCACAATCATATTGCTGAATTACATCGAGAACAACAAAGTAACAAATTGGCAATGCCATCGAAATTTCAAGTTTTTCGCGGACAAGGTTTATCTTTGGAAGATTTCGAAAAAATGAACAAAACCAATGGAGGGCTTATGTCGTTCAATAATTTTCTATCAACGAGTCGAAATCGTGATATTTCATTGAAAATGTTTGCAAGACCAGCAGCATTTAACTCGAATTCTGTTGGCATCCTCTTTGTTATGAGCATCGATACGGCCATTTGTACTCTATCATCAACACCTTTTGTCAACGTCATAGATGTTGGCTTCTTTAAAGATAAAGAGGAAGAGATACTTTTCTCAACACATACAATTTTTCGCATCGATCGTATAGAACGAATTCAGGATGGTCATACTGATCGCTTATGGCAAGTTAATCTCATCCTTGTGGGTAATCAAGACAAGGATTTTGACAAACTAACGGTACATATGCGCGAAGAGCTTCACGAAGTGGGTACAGGATGGTCGCGACTGGGTCAAATACTTATTAGAGTGGGAGACTTCGAAAAAGCAGGATATCTCTATCAGCTGCTCCTAGAAAAGGCTTCTTGTGATGGAGATAGAGCGCAGTATAATATTCAACTTGGTACGGTGTATGCACAAATGGGCGAATACTCCAAAGCAATTACTTTGTATCAACGATCACTTGAACTCAAGAAAGTAGCTCTTCCTCCGAATCATCCCGACCTAGCTACTTCCTATAACAACATCGGTGCTGTATATGACAGTATGGGCGAGTATTCGAAAGCCCTTTCGTCATACGAAAGATCTCTTGAAATCCGAAAAACATGTCTTCCTGAAAATCATCCAGATTTGGCTAATTCATACAACAACATCGGTTCAGTATATGATAGCATGGGCGACTACTCGAAAGCCCTTTCATCGTATGAAAGATCTCTTGAAATCCGAAAAAAATTTCTACCGGCAAATCATCCAGAGTTGGCTAGTTCATACAACAACATTGGTTCAGTGTATTTTAACATGGGCGAGTACTCGAAAGCACTTTCATACTACGAAAAAGATCTGGAGATCAACCAAAAGAATCTCTCTCCAACACATTCGCATATTTTAGAATTGAAAAGATACATTGAGATGGCGANTGGTGGCGCTATGTTCCACCGTATTGAGCATTGGAAAAATGTTTGAAAGACCTTTTTCGTTTTGCAATAGGGATTTGTTCATACAGATTGTGTAGAGCTTTTAACAGCGCATCTTTGAAAAAAAAAATCAAGATGTTATCATTTTCTCAAGCCGAGATATATGCAGAACAAAGATGTCTTGCAAACATTTTTATTATGCTGAAAAATAGCTCTATTATTTAGGTAGTTCGTTATGAGTGTGGAAAACCAACAGAGCAAGTCAAGAGGGATTTGTTTGCACGAACTTTGTAGAGCTTTTCATGGCGCATCTTTTAAAAAAATAATCAAGATTGTATCATTTTCTCAAGTCGAGATATATGCAAAGCAAAAAATGTCTTCCAAACATCTTCTAATATTGGGACATAGCACTACCATGTAGGTTGTTCGTATTAAGCGTCGGAAAACCATCAGAACCAGTTAATAGAGCTTTTCACGGCGCATCTTTTAAGAAAGAAATCAAGATTTTATCATATTCTCAAGTTGAGATAAATGCAAAATACAAAATGTTGCAAAACTTTTGGAACACCCGGTATATATATCAAAAACCAGTATTTCAACGTAAAATTTCGCTCATAGATAGATTAAATGACAATTAGAATATCCTGAAAATTTTAGCCGAAAAGAATGTTCTTTCTTGAAGATATTGAATTTCTCAAATCAACTGTTAAAACTATCGAGTTTACTCTTAAAAATCTAACTTCTCACTAAAAAGAAGCATTCCTTCGACTTGGAAATTACTAGATATTCTATAGAGTACACGAACTCAGTTTCCTCGTGAAAAGAATTTTCGAGAACGTGCATTCAAGCACACGAGCAGATTCTCTCTCTGTAACCCTACACTTTTCTGCACTCATACCAGAGACCGAACATAAACCCAAACTAATTTCTATAAAGATGAATTTAGTCAAAACTTAACTGAAAAACATTTGGTTGAACAATAATCAATTTTGTAAAAATGTAACGAAGTCAGCGAAGATAAAAAGAACTTTGTTTGACATCTTTTATTCACTTTTCCTATGACAGTTATTTTTCTCTTTATAGTAGTGACACTAATTATGTTGATGACAATAGATCACTTATGTGACATAATTATCTTTTCTTTTGTCTTTTAAATTTCTTCGCTTTTCCTATACTACAATGAATAATCGTTTGTAGGCGTATAAGATTATGCACTAGCATTAAAAGAAATTGGTGATACTTACGTATTAAAAATTAAAGAAAAATTTTTTTTCAAAAGCAAATATCAATTGAATCGAAACCTATTCAATTCAGTCTCTATTTTATACTGATTATTCTTATATAATTATAAACAATATTTTCATTGATTAAAATGGTAAACAAGAACATCAAGTTAATTGGCAAATGTGTTTTTTTTTTGTTTTACATATTTTTAAAAAATACTACTATGTTCTTTTATTTGTATAGGAAAACATACAAGATGAAATTTTAAAATTTCGATGTTATGCCTGTTTCAGGACCTGGTTTTCTAGTTGCTTCAGCTTCAATACCCATAAGTTCAATTGCTGCAATATGTGGTGGTCTTGCTGGTGCTGTACTTTGTCGACGAGAAAATTCTTGTAATGCTAATAAACTATGATATTTAAAAAGTTTTTGTGCTATGTCTGGTTTAATTGTATACATATCAACAAAACGATCAATAGAATATTCTTCTGGTGAATCACGATATTTTTGAAGATAGGTAAGAAATTGACGTAATGATACACGACCTGGTGGTATACGTTGTGGTTCAACATAACCAAAAGCACCATCAGCACTTTGTTCATCTAATGGCTCTTCAAGATGATTTAATAACGGAGGAATTGTTGGATGACTACTTGTATCATCTAATCGATGTATTACTGGATTGTCACCAGTCGAATAAACTTTAACATCACGTAAATATTTTAATAGTTGTTGATCTTTTTGATGTATTGTTTCAGGTGCAATGTTTTCTGCAAAAAAAACACGAATATATTTTATTGATTGTATATAATAATAATAATAGGAAAATTTATTTTAATACTTTCAGCATTAGTTGATTGTAAATCTGCTGGATATCGTGGAGCGGCAGTTGGTTTTTCTTTTGAAAGAACTCTGTCAACTCGATTATCAATATTATACATACGTAAAAATCGTGTTGCACGACTTACTGCGCCACCCATTATGTTTAAAAATCTAAAGAAAAAAATACACATCAATTTCATTTGTAAATTCGAAGCAAGATTCAAAATATCTTTTCATGCAAAAAAAACTGTTCTATAAACAATACTTCATGACTATTTGTTGAGATACTGTACAGTATGAACATTACTCTGTTATACATTGATATATTTGTAAATAGTATTTTTTTAAAAATTTTAATTCGAAAGAATAACATAGAAGATATTCATAATCTTGAAACTGCTAATAGCACAAGTGAAATGTTTTTTCAGTTAATTATAAGTATGTCCTTTAAGTGTACAAGCTCATTGTTTCTCTTTTTAGATGATAAGATTTTCGTTAGTAGAACTTTTGAAATTGAAATAATTTGTCAAATGTACAAGAATTTTGTTAGATCAATTGTAGACTAACAAAAAATGTTTTACTGGAATGTTGTGTACATTCAAACTAAATGTTAACATCGATCTGATATACTATTACTGCGAAATAAGTTCTGATGTCGTTCATGAAAAAAGACTTGTATTCATGCCATGCATGCTGCGAACATTTTATTCAATTGGTCACTTTCATAACCTATACCATATTATATAGATGTCTATTGTAAAATTTAGAAAAAATATAATTTTAAAATGGTAAAAGTATTCTTTAATAATTAATAATAATGTAAATTAGAGAAAAATTTTCAAATCGAATACAATTGGTATATAAGCTAATCAATCGTATTTTATTGTTTATTTTGTTATTGCATCTATATGTTGTTATTGCCTATTGTTTCTTTCCTTATATGGACCCTTTTCTTTTCCTTTCAGCAGTCAATCGGTTGTAAAGTAAAAATGGCTAATGACAGTTAATCGAAGAAAGAAAAACACAACACGACAATCTTTTGTAAAAATGAGGGCAGTGTCTTACGTTCGAGTAGATTTTCAAAGAATATCTAATTATTAAACTTCGTCGGTTATTTAAATATAATTAATAGTTCTTTTTTTTCAGATATTTTCAATGGATAAATCACCTTTATATCGTTTAAAAAACTTAAACAATCATAATATAATATCAGTATTCAAAGATCAATTCAAAATTGGTCGTGCTACAAGTAAATAGAATAAAAAATTTTCGTTACATTAGCTCATATTAATATATGAAATACCAAACATTTTTCTTCATATATAAACATGAAGGTTACACAGATACATAGCATTTACATATACGTCATTCTTGTATAATACCATTATTTTAAAATACATGATCAAGTTTTTTTTTTTCCCGAGGTATTAAGAAATAATATTCAATAGAGAAAAGATTGCTAAGGCTGATTTTTTTGTCTATTGATATTTACAAAAGCTATGGAATTTTTAATATGTCTCTTGGCTAGAGGCTCTATTAAATCTTAAGGTTTTGTATGAAAGTTTTCAAAATTTGTGGATTTCGTATTTTTCAGATAGGAATTTTTTTTTTATATCTCATAACTCAGTGAGAAGTGACCTCTATAAAATCTGTAACTCTTCATATAAATTCATGTATATGAGATCTTTAATTTGAAATAATTCCAATAGATGATTTCTTCGAAAATCCGAGGTTTTAAAAATACACGTGCACTCAAACCATGCTGGTCGTTTTTACCTAGATGAAGAAAAATAACATAAGAGAATGTCAAAAAAAAAACAAAAAAGAGAAATTTTGGTAACGTTGTTAAATTACGTTCTAGATGAGTCATTCTTCATTTGGTTGTCAAAGGTAAACATCTATTTTGACAGTCTATTGGCATAGTTCATAATCAATCAGATAAATTTATAATATACAAATTCTGTCATTGGGTTTGAGTGCATGTCTACCTACAAAGTCCTCCAATGAATAGATTTATTAAAAGACTTAATATGAAGACATCTATAGAAGTTTCCTCATCACTTATACCATTCAATCTTTAGAATATAAGCTATTAATTTAGCATTTTAAACTTCGTAACCCATAAATTTTATGAACTAATTGCTACCATCTCGATTAATACTCTACTATGCTTAATTTTTTACTAGCTATTCATTAAACAATTCGAGTATATATCTTTCATCTAGTATAGAATGAATTAAAATTTTCTCGATTCGTTCGTCTAAAGCAAATCTTCATTGTTATTATATAAATAATCGAACAGATTTCAAAGTATTTAACGACAGAATATCTTCAGTAATCTCTATTCTAATTTCAATCATTTAAAGATTAGTTTTATAATCAACAAAAAGATTTTCCAATATTACGCAAAAAAATTAATACGAATCATTTTTCTATTTAGCTAATGATTTATCAATTGCAAATAATCCATATATATCTTCATCTCATTGTATATTTGAATATGATCATGGTCGTCTCTATATACGTGATAATAGTTCTAATGGTACATTAATTAATCGATCAAATAAAATAAGTAAAAATGATCCCGTAAGTTAATAATGTGTATAAGAATGATGAAAAGTTCTTTTTTTTAGCGTGTAGAAATTCAGTCAGGTGATATTGTGCATATAGTTTTTCGAAAAGATGAACCTGAATCAAGTATATTTATTTATTTAATTGTAACAATTAAAAGAAAAAAAAAGAAATATTTATTTATTTATGTTAGATGTTATTTTTCAAGTGGAATTACCAATAGTAAATCAAATTGAAGAACAATCAAATAAAGATTTGTCTCCATTTGATGAAGGTAAAAATTAATTATTTTTTTTTTTGTATTGAAAAGTGAATTATATTCTATTTCTTTTTTTTTGAGATACACAATTAGTTTCATATCCATCGATTCCCCCATCATCTCCTAATGGTTAGTTGTTTTAACTTCTTTTTTTTCTGTTAAACAAAATCCTATTTGAATTAATCTTCTATTATAGAAACTCAAGAAAATATTGATTTCTCTAGTCTAATGAATACAAGTACAGATGTTGAATTAAAACCAACTAAAACAAAAGAAGAACCACGAAAAGAATTTGCAATGGAAGCTGGTGATGATATGGAAGATGTATTGACATGTGTGTGTTGTCAAGATATTATGTCTAATCCAATAAGTCTTGAACCATGTTTACATGCATTTTGCAATGATTGTTATGCTTCATGGGAAGCTGTTCAACGAACTTGGTAATACGATAAAATAAATAAACAGTTAAACATTCAATCAGTTTTTAGTTTAAGAGTAATCTTGCTCGTTTTTTGACTACTTTTTGGTTTCCGAAGACAGTACAGTTAATTAAGCTGAAATTTTTACTAGTGATACATAAAAGTACTCTCCGGATGTAAAATCGATCGTTTTTGTTTTTGACTTTTCTATTCGGATTTACAGGGTCATGAAAACCAATACTTTGAGTTTGGCATCGAATTTTTACGTATTTCTCTAATAAAAAAAAAAACAACAAAGCTTAAAATTACTTCTAAGATGTACTCTTTCAAGTTTCCAACAAAATTTTCAATTCAATTGGATAAAGTTTAATGGAAGTCGTAAGCAAGCAAAATGCGGTCCAATGAAAAATCAGGATTTCCCAGAAAAAGTCCACTTCAAAACTTATCTTCTTAGTTTTGATGCTCTATCTGTCGTAAAAATTTCAGCTTGATTGGTTATACAATCTTTAAAAACCGAAAACGATCAAATAAGACGGAGAGTTGTTATGGTTGAGTGGTTAAGATATTTGACACATATTCACAAGGTATTGTGTTCGAGCCTGAACACTATCTGACATTGAATGACCTTGAACAAGTCACTAAAGGCTGCTTGTCTTGGATCACCTGCCCGATAACAAACTGACTGTGCGGTTGACATGCATAAAAAAAAATTTTTTGTGGCTAGATGTGGTCAGACACAATGTACGGAGAACGTATGATAGAATAAATAGATGTCTGCAGTATACATTGAGTGCGGATGGATGTTGATTTAGATCTTCTCTGCATTGTATCCTTCTGGGACATTCAATTCGAAATAGTTGTTGACATTGAGGGAATATTTTATGTCATAGGCTATTTCTTTTTAATTTTAAAGACTGAATTCAACAAAATACTTTTTGTTTTGTTTTATTTTAGTCCTAAATGTCGTGTTAAAGTTATTGGCAAGAAAAAAAATTTTGTAATTAATGGAATTTTAGAAGCTTATCTCAAAGCATATCCACATAAACGACCTGTATCGAAACAATCTGATGAACATAGTGACGAGTCAACAAAAATGAAACCTACAAAACATGAAGTTTGTTGAAAAAAAGATATATATATATATTGACTTTATTAAAGAATCCTTGTTCTGGTTTATAAAGGTTGGTCTGGATGGAATGTATTTAGATAATATCCAATATGAACATGATGATTATGGTGATGATGATGATATGGATGATGATGATGATGAAGTAAGTTATTATTATTTTTAAGTTAAAGATTTTTCATAAGATATTGAAGATGGATGACGACGACGATGATGATGATGACGATGATAATCATCATCAAATATACTTGTAAGTTTTATTTTATATAAGAATTTATTTAAATGTTATGTTATTTATAGTAATCCAATAATAGCTCATCCTCCTGTTGTTAATATCAGATTTGTTTGTCGACAATGTCCACCACAAGGTGAGTTTAATAAATTTCTTTTTCTTTTTATTCAATTTGATAAAATATTGATTGTTCTTTTTTTTTGTTATCGTTGTTAGCTGCTGCAGCCATTGTACCGGCTGGTGGTTTTCAATGTCCGGTAAATCAAAACCATATACTTTGTCAATGTTGTGTACAACCAATGCCAGATCGACGTGATGAAGCTGATATTCATCAACATTGTAAATAGATTGAATTTATGTTATTTTGTTCTTTTTTTTTTCAATAATTTTATTTTGTTAGGCGAGATATGTAAACAATTTTTTTGTAATATTTATTTTCAACAATGTTCACGAGTGGGATGTCTTGGATGTTTAAATCATTTACGAGGTAGAAATAATAATTTTGTATTTTTTTTATTTTATAGAATTTTTTATTCTATAAAATAGATTTTAATTTTTCACATCATCATCTGACAAATTTTGTTAATGATAATCCTGTTGAATCACAAATTGTTCAAGTAAGTTTAAAATAAATCGATATAAACGATCATTTGTTTTTTTTTTTTTTTATTCAATTAGAAATATACAAAATTCGATTTAGAAAATAGAACTTAGTGAACCTCCTCATAGAAATTAATCTATACTAAATAGAGAATTAAATAAAAAACTTTGAGATTAAATAATACGTTAATGTTAAGGCACATCGTTATTTATACTACTAAATATTTAACAATTCGAACTTGATATATTGAGATTTTAAGTAAGGAAAAGATTAAAAAAAATTTTATCTGCAAATTTTCTCAGACTCAGATCTGTATTCAGATAAAGCTTTAAATCTGAATAGAGAATATTTTGATGTTAATACTAATGTGACATTTTTTTAATGTTAAATCTTATTAAAGAAAAACTCAGATTTGAATCTGGGTTCAGAAAAATGTGAACCAACAGAAAATCTCTAGTTAAGATTGTATCTTTACAAATAAAGCTGCTTCCAAAATGCAATAAAATAGTATTTCATATATTAGAACGAGACGTTATTGATATAACTCCCCCCCCCCAGTTTAGAAGCCCCCGGGAGCTTCTAAATTGTCAACCGTTCAAAAATTTTCTTGGAGGCTTCTTTTAAGGGAGGGCTACTAATGCGATTTTCGTACAAAAGTTTAAAAAAAAAATAAAAGAATAAAAAAAACCAATGACTCGATCTAACGTAAGTGAAAAACTTTTTAATCTGTTGCCCAAAATACAATTTAGGCTGAAACAGATTTTTTTTTGTTTCAGTAATTTTTTCAAATTTTCGTTCTTTAAGTTTTTAGTTTTTTTTCTGATTTTTAAGTTTCTAAAATTTTTGATTTTTTCAAATTTTAAATCAACTGATTTTATATCAAGAAAATAAGAAAAATCTGATTTCAGCTGTTTTCTCCTTGTAAGAGAGTCATTATTTCAAGAATCTTGGCTATTTATTTGCGAAAAGTTCAAAGAATCTTACGACAATCTGTGAAATTTTATCTAGAGAGACAAAAAAAAATTTACTATTCAGTAAATACAAGCCCAGGGCTTCTAATCCGTTTTCATATCGACCTTTCTTGATGGGGCTTCTAATATGGGAGGGGGTTTAGGCAATAAAACAATAACTTTATATGTTCTTATTTTAGGCGCATTACAAGCAGGTAAAAGTGTTACACGTGAAGTTTGTCTTGTTAATCGAAGTCGTGCACGTATATCTAATTGTTATGTTACATTACTCTCTTCGGAAAATAATACTGTTCGTGAAACTCTAACTATTCAACCAACAACTCCAATATCATTAAAAGCTCGAGGTGGTACAACAACAGTATTGGTTAAATTTACACCTCGTTCACGTTTAGCACCATTTGTCGAACAAATCTTTTTAAAATATGGTGATTTAGATGTTCCAATGTTTGCTGTACGTGGTTGTTGTCAAGGTTATGATATAACACTTGATTCTGATACACTTCCATTTGGTGCTGTTGGTAAAGATTGTTCATTAACACGTAAAATTATTCTATCCAATCGAGGTGATATTGGTGCGTCATTTTCATGGAATCTTACTCAATTACGTGATGTACCATTTCGTGTATTACCAACAAATGGTTATATTGCACCAGGACAAGAAACAACAATTGAATTCGTTTTTCAACCACGTACAATTCGACATGATATACGTTGTGATAAACTTGAATGTCGATTAGAAGGAACACAATCTGTTTATGTTACATTAAGTGGTTCATGTATTGAAGTTGCACCTGCACGTGAAACAATTGTTATATCAACAGCTGTACGTTCAAAAGAATTATCAAAATCAATTGTTTTAAAAAATAATACAAATACATTATGGACATTAACACCTATAATAAGTGGAGAACATTTTTCTGGACCAGAAACAGTTATTATTGAACCAAATTCAACAAAAAATTATGAATTAAATTATTTACCATTAACTGAAGGTAATTATAATATTATAAAAATAATATTCTAAATTTATTTGTTTTTTTTTTCTTTAGGTAGACATAATGGTACATTATTTTTTCCATTACCTGATGGAAATGGTCTTCTTTATAATGTTGTTGGTAATGCTGATGCACCACGTGCATCAGGTAAATTTTTGCGTGAAGTTCCTTGTAAAACACCATATACGGAATTATTACCAATTGAAAATTGGTTAAAAAAACCACAACGTTTTCGTGTAACACATGAAACAATTAAACAAGATCGTCCAGAAGTTGCAACAACAATAAAATATCTTGAATTTATTGATGTTGCACCTAAATCTAAACGTGATTTTAAACTACAATTTTATTCCTATAAAGAATGTATACAACAAATAAAAGTTATTTTTAAAAATGAACAAACACAAGAATATATTTGGTATGATATTACATTTAAATCTATTGTCGATAAACGTAATGCACCAACAATAGCAAATATTGATTTAACTACACATGTACGACAACAAACATCACATGATATTATTCTTGATAATCCATTGCCACATAAAGTTACATTTCAAGGTCAATGTTCACATCCGGATATACTTTTACCACCGGAACAAGTTTCTATTCCAGCTAATTCTCAAGTAAATATTTATATGATAATTCCTAAGAATTCGTCGAACTCGAACCCGACGAGCTAAGTAGTTCGTTTAGTCAACCATTTTATATTGATTGATATACTCACGAGAAAACGTTTCTAACTGATCAATTACTTTCCCATCGAAGATTAATCGGTTGAAGGCTGTTGAATGGAATTACTTAGATTATAGAGTATATCTGTTGTATGAATTAAAATGGTTGTATATTTCTGTAAAGAAAAAAGGATTTGAAACAGAATAACTTACTGTTTTCTAGACAATATCTATATGGTCTATAATGTGGATGAATTTTTAAGATGAAAATTTTGTTAGCCTAGAAAATCAGTAGATGGAGTTTTGAGGGAGTTTCTATTTACTTTCACAGATTGAAAAAAAAAATTTTTTTTTTTCTAATGTTTAACTTATTAAGGTAACTCTATTAATTTTCTATGTTATAATTTTATGAATAATTTATATTCGTTTTCTTTATTAGGGTTCATTCAATTTTACATATATGCCATTAAAAGCAGGCAAAGTTGAAACTCGTCTTGAAATGAATTCTGCTGAACTTGGTTTATATACTTATATGTTAACATTAAATGCACTTCCAGCACGTTCTGAACGAACATTATACTTTAAAGCACCATTAGGTAATTTACAAGTATTAACAGCTAAGTTTACAAGTTATGCTCGTACAAAAACTGATTATGTTTGTAAAGTATGTAAATTCGAATATTAAGTTTTATTTTTCAATTAAAATTAATTTATTTAGATTGATCATCCAGATTTTATTGTTGATCGAACTGTAACAGCAGCACCAAGTTCATCACCATCAACAATGGAAGTTAGTGTTGATGTTACATATGAACCATCACAATTAGGTGATGTACGTGCAACATTAACGATTAGTTCACCATCAAGTAGTGATTATACATTTCCATTAGTTGGTCTTGGTGAATTACCAAAACCACAAGGACCATTTACAATTAAAGCTGGTAGTAATACAACAATAACATTTAAAAATATATTTGCTCAAGCATTAACATATACATTCAATGTTGATAATCCACTTTTTCATGTAACAAAAGGTCAAGAATTAATTCAAGCAAGAAAATCTCATAGAATTGTTGTTTCATTTGATGGATCGGATACAACAAATAAAGCTGATGTTATGGCAAAATTAATTGTTTCATGTCCAAAAACGACTGGATCAACAAATACATCAAGTTCAAGTGTACAATGGATATATTATCTGAAGGGTATTACACCTTAATATGTTATTAATCATGGTTGTCTGACATGAAAACAGTGATGAAAAGATTTACTTTCTTTTTTTTTTTTGTGATTTCTTTGTTTAGAAAAAAATAAACTTTATTTCTCTTTAATTCAATAAAGATGAACTTATTTAATGAAAAATTTCAAAGAATTTATTTATTATAAAGTAATAATTACAACATTCTATGTTGAAATTTAAATATGTAATAAGAAAATTACTTTCAATTCTATAAACATCATTTAAGTATATTTACCTGTAGTTGTATCGATTAATTTCTAAACTGATTGATATTGAAAGATCTCGAGCATGTTAGTCATTATAGGTGATCAGCTGATACTTAGACTAGTGTTAGTCGTTAAATGTTTTCAAGATTTTTTTTAATTTACAGTGGGCGTCATAAGTCTCGTCCCACTTTTGTATTTTGAGTCGTCCATTTGAACTAAACAACGTTGATTTAATTTGATTATATATTCTTGTAGCGGAGATCGAGTACTATCTGTATACACCTGTTCCATACGGAAAATTCTCGGAATATAAAATAAAATAGGCAAAGCAATCTTCAGTCCTACGAAAAAAATGATACAAAAAAAGACAAAGTGATATTGTNCTGATTTCAGCTGTTTTCTCCTTGTAAGAGAGTCATTATTTCAAGAATCTTGGCTATTTATTTGCGAAAAGTTCAAATAATCTTACGAAAATCTGTGAAATTTTATCTAGAGAGACAAAAAAAAAAATTTACTATTCAGTAAATACAAGCCCAGGGCTTCTAATCCGTTTTCATATTGACCTTGCTTGAGGGGGCTTCTAATATGGGAGGGGATTTACAGTCTGTGGAAGGAATGTATTCAAATTTTTGTTCTATATACTTTAACATTCCTTGTAGATTGTGTTTCGAAAAAAGAATTGTTAAACTTTTTTTGTTTTACTAAGAGAAAATTTACTGATCAGTTAATCGTTTAGGATTATCTCACAAATAATAATAAGACAATACGTGATTTACTTATTGAATGTTGTGATCGTCTTGATCGAAATGAATTTACTTGTCCTGGTATTGATCCTAATGCTGCTGGTAAATTCTCTTGATTGTTTTTTTGGTTCAAAGATTTTATCTAGTTTGAAAATTTATTTTTTAGTTCCTTCATCAAAAGTTGTTTGTTATAAATGTGGTTTAAAAATGTTTAAAGAATTAGCTTATCAATTTCGTGTTCATATGAAACAAGATGATGTATTTCCTGTGATAATGCGTAATCGTGATAATTGTTATTATGGTAGAAAATGTCGTACTCAATATACAAAAATTGGTCATGCACAAAAATTAAATCATGCTTGCGAACAGACAAAATTTTAAAACTTCATATTTATCTTTGTCTTTTTCTAATTTGTTAAATGAACTCCTTCTGTTTTTTTTTTATATTAAAGGACGTATTTTTTGTTGTTCATTCGAAGTAAAAGTGATCATGATTAGTTTAGAATTTTTATTTCTTTTCTTTTTACAGATAATTAATGATATCCTCAAATTTAGAAATACCAGTATTTTATCCTACATATAATGAATTTAAAGACTTTTCAGCTTTTATTTCTTCAATTGAAGAACGTGGTGCACATAAAATTGGTTTAGCAAAAATTGTTCCACCTAAAGAATGGACCGCACGTAAAATGGGTTATAAACAAAAACAGATCTATGAAAAAATAGTAGAAAATCCAATAAAACAAGAAGTACATGGAAAAGATGGAGTTTATTCAGTATTTAATATTCAACAACGATCAATTAAATTAGGTTCATTTCAAAGATTAGCATCATCCAATCGATATGCAGCACCAGCATCAATTTCGAATGATTTAGAAAAGTTAGAAAAAAAATATTGGCAAAGTTTGACTTCTAATTCAGCAATATATGGAGCCGGTACGTTTTGATAGATTTAAAAACAAAAAAGAACAAAACTAGTAACATGTTGCAGTATTTCTTTCTGTCGAAGGAACGGGCTCCCACACTAGATATGATATATCATCTTAGGAGAACTTTTAATATGTGATTCGATATGACTTCATCTCTTCCTTCGAATGTTGAAAATCGTAATGGTTGACCTTATTCTAATTGAAAATTATTCAAAAAACATGATAATAGTAGATAAATTAATTGTGAAATTTTAAAATTTTTTTTGATGAGTTGTTCTTCAAAAGTGTCAGATAAGGAAGGAAATTTCCTTAAGAGTATCCTCAGTGACGTACGCAGGGGGGGGGGGGCGAGGGCCCCCCCCCCCTTGAGACGAAAAAGTTCTGAAGGGGGATACAGGAAAAAATATTTTCGCGTGATAAAAAATTTTTTGTGCCATGGCGGGCCCCCCTTACGAAGTTGGGCCCCCCCTTGAAAAATTTCTGCGTACGCCACTGAGTATCCTCGTCCATTTTTTTTTGTTATCAGAGTAAATTTTATTATAACACATTCAAGTATTAAACGGAAAGTTTAAATCAAAATATTGTCGAAGTTATTAGAATTTGAAATATAATTCAGAAGAAATAAATCAATCGAATTTCTATCGTTATTTAGATGTCAGTGGTTCATTCTATGATGAAAATCAAACAGTTTGGAATATAAATAATTTAGGAACAATTCTCGATGATATTGTTACTGAGCACGGAAGAAAAATTCAAGGTGTTAATACAGCTTATTTATATTTTGGTATGTGGAAAGCAAGTTTTGCTTGGCATACTGAAGATATGGATCTTTATTCAATTAATTATCTTCATTTCGGAGCACCGAAACAATGGTAAACATTTATGAATAAATCAATTGTTTTTTTTTTTTCTAAAAATACTTTAAAAATATTGTTTAGAAAGAAAAAAAAAAAAGAAATCGGTGAGAATATTTACATTCTGTTATTTTGCAAGAATTGTTTTTTCTTTTCTTCAATTGTTTTAAAAAAGATAACAAATATATAGATTTATATTTTCTTTTAGGTATGTTATTCCACCGTCCTATGGTAGAAAATTTGAACAATTTGCTGCATCTCGTTTTCCTTCATTGGCACGTCGATGTCCAGCTTTTCTTCGCCATAAAATGACAATTATATCACCATCAATATTAACAAAACAATCTATTCCATACAGTAAAATGACTCAAAATGAAGGAGAATTTATGATAACATTTCCTTATGGTTATCATGCTGGATTTAATTATGGTTTTAATTGTGCTGAATCAACAAATTTTGCTTTAGAACGTTGGATTGAATATGGAAAACATTCAATAAGATGTACTTGTAGAGATGATATGGTTACAATTAGTATGGATACATTTGTTTATAAATATCAACCAGAACTTTATGAAGATTGGTGTTGTGGAATTAATTTAACACCACATCCAGAAGATAAGCAATTGTCTAAAACGAATAAAAATGATTCATTCGCAAAAAAACTTTTATCAATTAATAATAATTCGAATAAAAGTAAGTAAATTGATAGAACCTATGGTGAGAAAATAAATACCCTAAAATGATTTGAGCTGCTGAGATTTCAAACATTTAGTGAGTTCTTTTGAATTGTAATTTGAAACTTTACCCAAATAAAGGCATCGATTAGATTAGCTTATACAGAACAAAAAAATGTTAGAATTTTTTTATAATAATCATAACAAAATGCCTATATTTTAAAAGATTCATATCTCGAAGAGATTTGCTGAAAAAACTTTGACATTTTTTCTACAAGCCAATCTAATTGATGCCTTTATGTGGGCAAAGTTTCAGGTTAAAATTTAAAAGTATAATTTTGTATGAAAACTGCAGCCCTAAAACAAAATATCTACTAAATATTCGAAATTTCAGCAACAAAAATCACTCTAAAGTATAGGCTTACTCACTAGGTTCTCTCGATTGAATATACTTCCGACTGAAGAGCGAATTATTACGTGAGAACTTTCACTGGTGAGTTTTTCCTATGAGAAATGAAAGATTTTTGATTGTTGGATACTTCATGAAGAAATCATACTTTTTGAATGAAAAACTTCATGTCAAATCGGATTTTTACGATCTTTATCCAGCTGGTTTGCATAAAGTACGAAACTCAATAAAACGACCGTAGCCCCAAAAAGGAAAAGACATGGGGGCGAAGGCCTTTCCTCGTAAGAGGAACATTACTTGATCATGTCATTTATATATTTTATTCTTCGTCCAGAACATACAAGAAAATCTCTTCAGAAGTTAAATCACACTTAGATCGAAACGATATACATTTGACGAGTACTACTTAGTAATAGAAAAGTCTAGAATAGGTTTGGCTTGTCAAGCCTGTGTTCTATTACATGAAAAATCGACTTTCGATTTGAAATTTTGCACGAACAAAGTATTCAATGAGATTAATTGATTGAGTAAGTAGTAATTTTTCTAGTATCTTTAATCCTGAGATATTCCAAATTCTATTATTTTATGAAAATAAATTTGGTTCATATATTTACATCATCAGAAATCAAATACTAATTACACAATCAGTTAATTTCATTAAGAACTTTTTTCGTATGATGTATGAAGTTGAAACTCACTTTTTCACATGATTACAGATTTTAATTGAAAAATCCAATTAAATTTCGATATTTCAAGAATGAAGACAAACCCATAAAATTAAATCATTCTAGACTTTCCTATTCGTTTCTAGCACTCATCAAACGAACATCATGTTCGTCGATTTTTCTACAGTAGTGTAAAGTTTTAGACATTCTAAACAATTATAAATCATCAAATCTTTTCTTTTTAAGCTTGTATTGAATCGTTAACAACTGTCGAACAACTACTACAACATCATCATCATAAACGTGTATCTGACGAACGATATGCTTGTATATTTCGAAATTTAGCAAAATTTGATAAACAAAAACAATTATCAATAAGTCAATATTCAGTTCCACTTATTCGAGCTGCACTTTATCGAGCAAAATTTAAAATGAATAAAAATCCAGTGAAAAATTCTAAGAAATTATTATGTTTAACAGCTAAATTAGTATCTAATTTTTCTTGTTCTTTTCCAATATTTTTTAATGGTCTTAAACAAGCAGGTAAATATCGAGAACATATTCTTAATGGTCTTTGGAATTATCAATTATTAAATATTAAATTTGAACAATTATTTAATCAATGGTTATATAATCAATCTTCTTATTGCTCAATTTGTTATTTTGTTAATACAAATAAATCTAATAAGAATGTTTTAAATGAATCATCATCACCAATACGTTCTTTATTAAAATCAGAAGTATTTTATAGTACATCCAATAATTCAAATGAATTACTTCAATGTTCAATGTGTCATATCAGTGTACATCGAGATTGTTATGAAAGTATATGTCTTGCACTTAATGTAGATATTAATGATAAATATGATCAATGGTTGTGTCAACGTTGCACATTGAAAAACCAAGTAAATACAATTTTTTTTATAAATTTCATCATAGTTAATATTGAAACAAACTTTTTAAAGTCATATTTCAATTGAGAATAAAAGATTTTGTTAATCACAGTTTTAAGAGTACTTGTGAAAACTCTAGATGCTCATGGTTACCTTGATATTCATTTGTAAAATATCTTGTATAACTAAAAAGCAACAGAATTAGGATGTGAATATGTCTCTTTCATTAGACTATATGCATACCCACACTCAAATATGTAATTAGATTTGATAATTTTTTTTTTTTTTGTACTATGTTTCTCCTTCATATTAAAGAATGAAAAAAAAATGTAAAAGAGCAATATAGTCATTATGATTATTACAACTTCGAAAGTGACTTTAGACTTCATTCTCATGATATTCTAGTCTATTTATATTAATATTCTTTTGAATTAGTCAAATATATTTATTTATTTTATTATTTAAATTCAAAAAACTAAATTTCATTTTTTAAAACTTTCGATTTCCTTTTTTTTTTGAGATTTCGAATACAATTGATGATCGTTGTTCAGCTTGTTTATTTCGTGGTGGTCTTCTTCTTTATTCTCGTTTATCGTCTTCATTTATTCATGCTATCTGTTCAATATATCAAGCTTTTCAATGTTCATGTCAAACAAATTCATGCCATTATTGTTGGTCATTTTGTCCATTAAGTTATCGACGTATATCAACTCATATTTATGCTTCTTGTAATTATAATCAATGTACTAATACATTTCATATAACATGTGGTCTCATTAGTGGATGTATATTTCAAATTGATCAAGATCATTCTATTATTAATGCGCGTTGTCATTTACATGCAACAACTTCTATGTTAAGTCCATCTGTATCGATTGTGAATAGTAGATCATCAACAATCGATGACAAAACAATAGAACTTAGTGATAATCTAATAGATAACAGACAACAACAAGAAGAAAATAGGGAAAGTAATGATATTGATAACATAGTCGAAGAAAATAAACGTGTACCTATAGGAACTCGAGTATTAATAAATGATGCAAAAGGACAAAAACTTGGTCAAGTGATAAGTAATGAATTAAGTTATCACTATTCGGTTGACTTTGGTGATGACACGTATAGCCATGATATGTAAGTGTTTATATGTGTATATATATTCTGAAACGCAAATTGATTTGACGATTGAATTAAGAACTAATGCATACAGATCGATAACAATGTTTAGAATCGAAAATTTAAAAAAATAAATGCGAAAACCTCGGATTTAAATCCGAGTGTTATGTGTACTGCGAAAAGTGAAGAGATATATTCACTGTTTTCTATCAACTGAGCCATATTTAGCCTATTTGCTTTTTGCATGCAGTTTTTCTGCATTTTGAGACATTTTTCATGGGATGTTTTATTAGAAAGCTACGATTTGGTTCCAAACTAATATCAGATTCGGAATCAGCGTTAAAAACTGAGTCGATTTATATATGTTGTGAATAATTCTGAGAAAAAATTTTTTTTTTGAAAAAATCCCTGTCCCCCCCCCCCCCCCTCAGGGATGATCTNTCAAGATACTGCGACACAAAAGTAAGTTGATCGTTTCACGATTAAAATATAATTTACCTCAATATATCATATTATAAAATATAGCGAGCGGATCAGAATAAAATAAGACTTTAGTATTTCTTCAATAATTCCGCCAGTTTTCATCTAATCGTACTAACTAGTTTATTATTAAAATTACCGTACAATGCTTTACAAAACTATAGGTAAACGATTTCTGTAGAACGAAATACGATAAAACTTCCCTACGTAAGCACCTCCTTATAGTGAGTGGTATAGAGTTCACCTAAGCAAATTCTGCTGGAAACGCGCCTGTATAATGTGAGCAACGTTTTTTTTTCGTTACTTATGTTTAGAGCGAGAAAAAGATGATATTATCTGTATTGCGTTAGAATGAACAATGATAGAACATAAAACAAGGAGACAGACTTGCCGTGCGTATTTAGAAAAAAGAGCATTATAAGAAGGCAACAACAGTACCTACCGAATGGTATGAATATGGGAGAAGACTAGATCCTTATCAACATTCATATCCAGCTCCAAGCACATTCCATAGCATTTTCGAAAATATTAATTTTGTATCTTAAACATGATAATTGAGAAAAATAGATGATTATTTGAATTGATAAATAATTGAAATGCACAAAACAATTATCACAGACAGTCGAGAAGCGATTCCAAAGTAATACTTATCATTTAAAAAAAAGCAACTAAAAAACTCCCAATAGTGAGTACTTCCGTAAACTAAGCTCTTTTGGTCAGTCCCGATGCTGCTTACATTATTGAAGTTTTTTTATATGACAAAAAGGATAGAGGAAAAAGTCGAGGCGACGAAAAGTATTATCTGTCAAAGGCTCATTCTTAGAGTTTTCTTTAACGTTTTGGGTCATTGAAGCTGTTTTTTTTTAAAGCTTTCTCTTTTCGATGCATTGCCAAAAATGCTATTTGATTAACAACAAGCATTGACATGAAGTCGTGTTTTTTTCTCAAACCATCCTAAAATGAATACAGTATGCTATGATTTCAGAAACATGCCCATACGATGGTAAAGACTCAGAACTTAGAAATAAAAATAATTTTTTTTAACAGATGATTTTTTGCGGAATATGCCAGCCTTTTCGTAAAAAAGACAAAAAGATTAATAAAAAGTCGTGTTTTTTTAAATCTAAGCAAAGAAAAACACCGTTCTGGGTTCTTAGGTTTCAATAAAAAAAAATTTGCACATGACTTCGGTAGACAATTTTACATTCTTCAAAACGTAGGACTCAGTTGTTTTGGGCTATTGCTGTGCAAAGTTAAATCATCTGAAAAAAGTAATTTTCGTCGTCTTGAGTTTTTCCTCTATAACTTTGTCATACCTTGTTCTAAAGAGAAGGTTTACTCTATAGTTTTATACAGTTCTGAAATAGGCAATCTCAGAACATTTGTGAATCGCTTGATTTTCTCAAATAATATAAATTTCCTAGCTGAATTTTGACTTACGTCTAAGTGAATGCTTGCATAATTCAAGTAATTGATGTGCTTATTTAAATTTATCCCTGCTTGGTCGAATAAACAATTACTTCTTTGTTCAACTCAGCCGTGGATTTACAACCATAGTACCTTTACAACCTCCATAGCGAACTTGAAGGACACTAGAAACATATTTATCATGTTCAACATTAATACCTATTGAATCATGGATCTAAATAGAAAGCAATACTATGGGTTAGATCAAAAACAAAAACAAGATTTTGATTTAAAGATATATCATCACTTGCCAATTGATTTAAATCTGATGAAGTCTGTCTAACGCCATCAGTAAAATTATATTTTTCATCTGTTGTCTTCAGATCAGGAGTAATATTAACTAGCTTTTTATTAATCTTAATAGGAAAAAAGACAGCTGTTATTTTCAATTAAAACATGTTCATATATTCTAACCTCCATAGTCGCTTCTGTAATTACTAGAAAATGGTTGTGTTCTTCGAGCAATACTCTTTGCTAGTAATCGTTCATGATCAAAATTTCTCATCCATGATTCCAGTGTTGCACGAATCATTCTACCTTCGTCTTCAGAATAAAAATAATTTTTTTTTTGATGTATTTGAGATTGAGCATGATGTAAATAAATATAGTGACGATTACTAAAACAAAATCTATTTTCAAAATAATGTTTTAAGAAGGGAACCAGTTCTTTTGATAAATATGCTGATCCCGTATCATTACGAAATTCTACTAAAACCATCGATTGACTTACACTAGACATACATCGAAATACTTGATTTGATCGCATAGATTTAAATGATTCGACCATAAAACATGTTGGTGTTAAACAGAATCATGTACTTCATACATAATTAATCCAAGCTTTATTCATTTTATAAATGTTACCATCACGATGAAAATCATAATAAGAATTCTTAAAAGTAGGGAATGCATATTGAAGTTGAAGAAAAAAATTCCGGTAAAACTCCAAATCGTCGCAGTCGTTCAAAAAAATAATGAATAAATCCATTATTATTGTTATGTTCATTTAAAAATTGCAAGATAGTATTATACAAATTTTAATTATTGATAATTTGATCATATATGGATATCCTACTCTAAGGAGTATGTGTCAAGCATATTAACAAATAAATATACACATATAGATATTTGTAAATTATTGCTATCGATTAAGTTCTCATATGAAAACCGACGCGAGTAACTTTCGATAAAATAAAAAGACTGAAAACTGCAGATTCGCAACCAATCAGAATGTGCTATGGTTTACATACTGATGAGAAAAAAACAAGCAAACGTGTGTTTCTTTTTCTCGTGAAAAATTAAACTTAACTTGACAGAGGCAGTAACATAATACTAAGTCTCTTCTTCTATTTCAGAGCATACACCCAGGAGCACCCTTCACCACTCAAGACAGGAGTACGTAGAGGCGGGTGCTGTCTCAGCGAGTTTAAAAAACAAGGGGTTGCTACGTCTCTGAACATCAGTTTCTTTATGTTGGAGTGTCTATATTTTGAGATTGCCTCGCAAACAAAGATTTATAATGAACTTGCGATCCGAATTCATATCAATGAAAGTGTGGGTGTTATAGTTTTTCGGACCATTAGAATAGATATGAAGTCAACATCATCTGATTAGGCCCTTAAGCAAGGTCGAAACACGCTATGGCTCCTAGACACATCCACACTCACACCCATCAGATATGACTTCATAAACGTTCCATCCTTACAACCACTTGCGCTGGTGGCAGATCGTCTCTTCGTATCATTTTCTATCATAAGTTCAATCATAAAAGCGCAAAATATTTTAACATGTCTTTTAACTATTGTAGCTGATAGAGCTTTCAAAGCATGGCCTTCGTTAAAGTAGATTTCGAATTCTCATGAATCACAGATCACAATCTCTGATAATGGGCTGATTATCAGGACATATTTCATTAGACATCATTAAAGAAAAAATATTTTAGATTATTTTGTATTTATTTGATTTAGAGAAAGGTCAATTGAATTAGTACCAATAGAAAATAAAAATGGCTAAGGCAATATCCGTTGATGCACAAGCAATCATATACCAAGCTTGAATATTTGATGGAATAACACAATAATAGCATAGTAAATCATAACATCCATGAGAAAACCATGCAACCCCAAGTAAATATGGCTGAAACATACCGAATAAACTTAATGTTGTAAATAGAATGAATGAAGTACTATGAATAATTAACCGAATGGGATATGATCTTTGATTAATCGACAATGCATTGCCGCAATAAACACCAGCAGCACCACCAATGACTATAGAATGTAGATTTTTGCTTAATTCATTAGGTAATACCATTGTTATTAAACCAACTAATAGCGCAAATGATAAACCTTTAAAAACAGAAAGAATCAAGTCTGTTCTACCAAGTTGATGCAAACGAGTATGTGTTGTTGTTTGCATTATTTGTGGATGATCTAATAATATTAAATAAATTCAGACGAAGATTTTCAAACAAACTATTGATGATTAAATTGAAAAAAAAATTTAACTAACTCAGGAGGCTCATTTTAAAATACATACATTATTATAATATAAAAAATGGTAGAACAATAAATTCTTTACGAGTTTATGAAAATTCTAGGTGCAGTAAACTCTGTTCACCGTCGATACAAATTTTAATAAACACTTTCATACACCCTTTTAAAAGATTTATGAAAGGGTATTTCATTGTCATAAACCCTTCATATACACGTCGAAAGAGTTAATTGACATAATAAACTCTTCGATATAATTTTTCAAAAGGTATATAAAAGGATATCTGAAGGGTTTTAACATAGGGTTAAACTTAATATTGAATTGTTGATGTAAGATAAATCTAAAGAAAACACAATGCATTTAATATGTAAAAACATTTCCTTTTTTCTTCAAATTTATTCTGATTCAACAATTTATTGTTAAGTTCAACTCGATATGGACAATAATTCTAATGAGAGAAGCATTATTTTCTAAATTCAGTTAAGGTTACTGCTGCATATAGAGTAACAGTTTACTTTAGACAAAGAACAGAACAAAAAAGCAACAATATTGGTTTAGAAAGCAACCAACAAAACGAATAGCGCACGAACCACTAGAACATCTCTCTTAGTGCATTAGTATGATGGTGCATCTATTCTATATTCTGACTGACTCATCATTTTTTGACTTAACTATCTAAAAATAATTTAAAAGATTGATATCTTGCTGTTTTTTCGACTTGCATCTTTTTTGAATTATGAAAACATTTATGAATGGAAAACAGCTAAAGCTCCATAAAAAACGATCTTTTGTGTTCAACCCTGATGGAATCATAACACAGTTGTGTTCTCGCAAAAATAAACGAAAAATTTACACGCGGAAAAGAAACGAAAGACATTAAAAAAAAGCTCACTCGATTCGTCTCACAAGGGAACATCCCAACTGTCTAATCATTTTTGGATTCAGTATATGCTCAAACTATAGACCCTATTGAATTATTAAACAACGTATAAAGGTTCGATTTTCCATGTCTTTGAGTAGAGATATACAATTGTCAGTGAACTAATATTATTGAACTAATATACTAATATTTGTAGTATCTTGACTAAGCATATTCTGTTTCGCCGCAAATTTATATCAGGGTGTGCGGCGTGGATGCGGATGTGGTTGAAGCGAAGATGCATTATACAATCACACCAGCTCCAAACCTACAGTGATGCTCTGCTGTTTGAAAAATTTGTACAAATATAATAATTGTCAATGGAAGATTAAGAAACAGGAAAACAAATGAAAATGTTAGAAGTTGCATTAACATACATCGATATTTGCACCACGAATAGGGTGCCGAAGTCATTTATTTCTGTACAATCACATGATAAATCAGAGTAGTTAAAGCACTATTTACAATTGAATTCTATACAACAAGAATGCGTAAGCTTAAAAAGCAAGGATATAATCCACATTCAGCTGAATAAAATTCGGGTTGGTTATGACAGATGGAAGGTAATAGTAGAAAATTTTTGTTTTGTGGTTCAAACCATTTGATAATGAAATATAACAATGTGGCATTCGATTGAGACTCAAGTAAGTAGAACTGTTGGGGTAGCATCAAATCAAAATAAAAAAATCACCAGATAGGTGCAGGTGTGGGTGAGTGTGCATGGAAGTAAATTGGAATCAGACAAACACCCACACCCACACCCTCCAGCAACATCAAAATCATCATCCTTGATATCTACAGAAAAGTGTTGAATCAAATCTGCTAAATGCTAATATACTTATCATTTAGAGCCATCATTCAATGAAAGATAATGTTTGCAGCATTGTCCAGAGAAGAGAACTGAAAGAAGAAAGAAATACAACCATTTCAAAGCAGGATGAAATCACATTGTTCTCTTGCAGAGTAAAATGAAAATTCTAATTCAGTTCAAAAGCTTGTATTCATCTACGAACAACATCCAGCGAACCGAGCAATTTTTGGTCTTTACGAGACGTGACTAATTTTACAAGCTTTCATTTAATATAAAATTAGTTTTTACATGTCTTATAGTTCACAAGAATTACACTTTCATCTAATAGGAGTCTGTGAATGGCATAGACAGACATATTTTCTAAAAATTATGTTGTGTTGAAAAAAAGGATAAAAAAATCAATGACATATGCTAATAATATTCAAATAGTATCTGGTTCACATAGAAAATGTTCAAGAACAACATTCTGATGCTTTTATTGTATCTGGCGGTATGTATGATCTATGTAGTCCAGAATAATGAAATACTGGGCTTTGATTTTTATTATGTGACTGATAAAGGTACAGAAAAGATAGCCTTATGTAAAAAAAAAACAGGTGCTAGTTTTTTTTTTGATCATTACAAAACAAATAAATTGGTCGCAACTATGTGTGCTGGTTGAATGGCATTAAGTAGTCATTTATATGATGCTAATGAAAATGCACGTAAACATAATATAATATGTTATCTTGGAACTGCTAACTCACATAAAAATAAATTTAAATCAATAAAATTCAATGCATCTGATGTTTATAGTGAAGTTAATAGACATCATTTAATAGCGAGTCAAGAGCCAGCAACAACAATTGAATTTGCTTTAAAACTGTTATCATATTCAACTGATGACAGAAAAGCTGAAGAAATACGTAAAAGTGACTTGCGTAACACTTCATCATCTTGTTCTTCTTTTTTCGGTATCATGTATCAATAAACTCGCCTTTTGTATTTTGATGTAATCGAGCAAATAAAGAAACGTTTTTCTTTGTTTCTTTTGTGTTTTTTTCAAAATATAATGATATCAAATCGTTATGATATTGATGATGAAATATACATAATCGATCTATTAACAAATGAAGATATTCCTTCATTAGTTAAATATTATAACAACCCAATATTACATGCTAATTTACTAACAATACCATATCCATTTACAACAAAGGATGGTGAAGACTTTATTCAAAAAATAAAATTAAACTCGTTAAATTTATCACGTATTTTTACTATTCGTTTACAGACAAATAATGAATTGATTGGTGCATGTGGTCTTCGCCGTTCAGTTAAAAATGAAAGGCGAACAGAAATTGGATATTGGCTAGGTGAACCATATTGGCATGGTGGTTTAATGCCTAAAGTTGTAAAAAAAGTAATTGAAATAATAAAAAACGAATGGAAAAATTTAGTTCGGATTGAAGCAAAAATATTTCCATGGAATAAGGCATCAATGCGCGTTGTAGAAAAATGTGGTTTCATATTTGAAGGAGTATTACGTAAACATGCACATAAGAATGGACAAGATATTGATCAACATTTATATGCATTGATTATTGAATAATTGAAATGAAATTCGTTAATTTTATCATTATTTATTAATATCATTTTTTTCTGCTGTTGAATTGGTTTAAAGAAAAAGTGTTTTGTAAGTTCAACTGTATTCTAAGTAGTATTTGATCTAAATATAGATGATTTCCGCTTTGTTCGATTTTTTTTTGTCAACAGAGAAAATGATAATCAACAGAAGATATCGTTGATTATTCTTTTTATTGAACAAAAGAAAAAAAGAACAGCCTAGAGATTCGAAACCTCCACATCCTTCACATAGAAGAACATATTTCTGTAATAAACTTATTTGAGTATTTTGGTCGTGTCTATGATGGTATTTGACCAGAGCAAAGTTTTGCCCCCATACTTCAATGATATTTTCAATTTGTCTTTTACAAAATATAGAAAGGATACTACTTTTGATCAGAAGTAGAACTAACTATACCTATATATCTAACTACCTACCTACTTACCGGCTCTATTATAGTCAAAACAGATGAAACGAAAACTGATATCTTATTTTATTCTGCTCATACGTCACTGGCTTAGCCAATTGTGAGTTGTTGTACAGGGATCCTTGTTCTTAGACGTCTTTTATCATCTTCTATCATATGTGCGAAACATTTTCTTGTATATGGCATAAGAAAAGGACTAAAAGTTAGAATGCATGAGTTGATCGAAGAAGTTCATATGAATCAGTATTGACTATGACCGATGGTTGAAGTCTTTGCCATTTAGGTTTACAGTTTTCATTATGTATATAAACTGATGATACTACAATAAATAAGACTATAAAGATAAAAAATATGCTAGTTTGCTATTTCTCCACATAATTGTTTCTTAGATGAGTATGAAAATGAAAAGCTAACATAGTGAAAAATTTTATCTCTAGAATAATGCATTGCTCATTTTACTTTTTTGACTTTTCTCGATTATTTTTCAAAAATTAACCAAAGTCCTAAAGGTCACGCCGTCGATTTCTATAGTTGTGTCTATGTAACAGCAAATAATTATAGTATTGATTACCAGTAGAAAATCGTCGTTACAAACTGAGATATGTAGTTCAATTGAATAACCAATTCATATATTCATTAAAATAAACTTGAATATATAATATAAAGCAGAATCTTATTTCTCTTTGATCGTTACAGTTGAGTCTCTTAACGATGAGTACCGATTTCATGCCTAAGCACGTTTAAAATGAATACAAAATAAAGGCTTACTGTAACGCACCTTTAAGTTTAGAATCGATTGATTTTCTTTTATAAACTTCAATTTTCCTAAGTCAAGCTTATTCAGAAGTCTTAGATAGAGTTAAAACTAAACTTCTACTATCCGTTTCAAAATAGAAGACACCTTACGGTTTTTTGAATAACTTTTGATAGGAACAAGATAGAGACCTGCGGTTTTCACCATTTGAAAGAGAAATATTGGGGCTATAAATATATGGCAAATTCTATTGGTCAGCANATGAGAAACAAACCTACGATTATATTTCTTACCTTAATGTCCCACACTAATGAATGTCAATCTACTAGATACGAAAGTATAAATTGACTAGACACTATTCTAATGTTTAATAAACAATAGTTATTAAAAATGCATATTATTGGGTGTGGGTGTAAATGGATGTACTGTAAGGCAGGAAGAACAATACCAGCACTCATACCCACATACTCTTTTCATTTTGATCCATAAACGAAGCTGATACCAATTAAAGTTGAAAGAAGAGAAAAACATTTCAATCAAAGCTAAACGATGGAGCTTGATAGAGCATCGAACCTTCTAGAAAGCGGTCGAATTTTCTAGTTTTTTCTTGCTTTTGCATAAACGAAAATTTTTTTTCTCTTTTCACTTGTAAGTAAAAAGTAACTTTTTCTCATATATCTGTCGTGACTGAGCTTTGATATGAGCAATAAAGTTGCCATTTCTTGTGGTAGTGTAGAATACAAGCAGAAATAACATTATAAATTATGAAAATTTGTCTCAAGAAATAAAATTTATAAGAAAAAACAGGTGAGGCATTTGTAGTATGAAAAAATAGCAACTCATTCATACGTATACATACGAACAAGTATCTTTTCATTTCTCTCTTTTCGTTTCTAATGTTATTTATGGTATAAAATAAATAAAAAAACGAAAAATACAAGTTCACGTGTGCATTCATCTATATCGATGATGACAAACATACGAATAAAATCATCTGAAGAAGGTCAGATTGCAGCCAAGAAGTCACCTAAACGAAATATAAACATCATATCTAAGAAAAAGAGCAATAGATCACAAACATATTCATCGTATCTCAGACAACTACATTTAGTCTTTATTCAGACTTAGCTATAATAATCTTTATGTTGAAATTTTATTTTATAAATATGATTTCAATTTATTATTTAAGTAAGCATAGTTTTTCACCTACGTATAATTTTCTTATTAAATAAATGATTTTGTCAGTGAGACGCTTCAAATGAACTAAAAAATCAAGATTTTTACCGAATAATAGTTTTTGTTTCTAAAATGAAACTATTTATTATTAATATGGCAAATAATTACTAGCCTTTGAGTTTCGATGAAATCATTAATGGTAGTGCGGAAATTACCCTACTCTTGCATATGATTGAGACTCGATCAACGACAAGAAAACTATTTGTTTAGATTCAATGTGAAAATTGTTTTTTGCATAATATTTAGAAACGAATTATACCTTATTTATTTATCTTTTCTTATTATTTCTGATTCAAAATAAAATTTTCAATATTCTTAAAATTCGACAGACGAAAAGAATAGAAATCATAGCTAATTAATACTTTGAAAAATAGCAATCATTTTTTCAAGTATTGGATTCAACTAACTTTAAAGATTCGATCAATATGTATTGAATACTTCCATGTGCACTGCTTACTTTTTTCTTGATACATTCAAAAATATTGACATATGTTGGTTAGGCCTTCAAAGAAAAGAATGAAACGCTTGAATAATCATCTCTTAATTATTTTTCACCTATTTTCTATTCTTTAATGTGAAAATAATCTCATGAATGGTTTTTTTTCTTTGTCGTCTCTTCATACGTAGTCGCATCATAAAATTTTCTACATTAGAAAGAAGAAAAAAAAAACATACGTCATTGACATTCGTATTCGTTTGTTTTTTGTCTTTTATCAACTAAAAAAACCGATAATTTATGTATCAGCAATCCCTATTTAAATACATGAAAATAAAACTCTTATCACACCGTTATTTTGTTTCAGTATTCTTTTGGACTCAAGTCTACTTTATTTAATCACTAATTTTCGATTGAGTTCGTCGTTTCATATTATAATAAGGTAATTGTGAATATAAAATTTGTGGACAGAAATTATTGTGTAAGAGAATAATCGTAAGAAGATTATATGAGTCTTCTAATTTTTTGTTCACTTTTAATGGTAAAATTTTTATAATCTATAATACACATAAACTCTGTAGACGACTTCTAGGTTTTCAACTTTGACAGTAAAAATAGTCCTGAAATACAAAATTTCGCATTATGATTTACTAGGTAATGAATCATGGGAGATGACCAAGTATCGATTGTTCCTGAGCTTTCATATTAAATTAAAATCTTCTAAAAATAAGATGAATTATAATTCGTACAGTTTAGAGTAGAAATATTGAACGATTACATGTGAACATCGAATGTTTTGATGTGTGACGTGCTTCAAAAAAAAAGTGCATGATATTGAATCAAAAAGTTTTGGAAAAACTCATTATTTCTAGAATCATATAAAGTATCTGCAAAATTGAGAGGTGATATGCATAATTTATAATTATTTTAATAATAGTAGACCATGGTGATAATTCGAATGAACACTGATTTGTATTTTAATTAACGAGAACAATTTGATTCTGTTAGATATTTATAAATAATTCAGATTGAGAAATAAAAGTTTTAGAAAAATCAAATAGGAAATAATATTTATGCTAATTTTGAGCAGATCAATGACACTCAGCTTAATTAGAAACACTAGTTAGTTTTATAGTTGAGAAAAGTCTTAATCCTTTTGTATATGACACAAGTGTGAAAAATGATGTTATAAATTATTCATTAAATACTGTAAATACCTTTTTTGAGACACATATTGAAGGATAACTATTTAGAAAAAAACAAAAGACCAAAAATTATTACAAGATAGTACACATTTAGAATCGTTTACATGATCTTATAATAAAATCTGATAGTATTTTGCAGACTTGTNTCTATTCTTATGATATTAGTTAAAGAATGATTGAATATCACAGAAAAAATAGAACATTACTTTTACTGTTACTATATATAAAGAGAAAATTTCCTCAAGTTTTCTATATGAAAAAACAAGTAATTAGTTCCATCCTTACTTACTTTTGGGTTGCCTTAAGTAGTTGCTCAAACTACTGTTTGAGTATTGATTTGTTATGCCGAATTTTGTAATTACCATAATATGATGTTCATTAGAAGTGTGAAATTCTAAGAAGAGTTTTTATTCACAGCTGTTAGATAAATAATATTCGAAGTATCGATTATAGTTGCTTCTTGTTTTAGTATAAATTTGTGAAAAATTTTATCAACTTTTCATTTCCAAAAAATATTGATAACTTCAAAGTCGATTTATAGAAAAAAATCTCCACACATTTTCGGCGTTCACAGATTGACACTTAAATTACAATTTGCATTGCTCAGCGCATCCTTATTTCCTGTACTATAAAGCATCAACCCACTTATTCTTCTTGTCATGATTACTGAAAAAAATCGTTTAGCTTAATCTCTACGAATTTATTTCGTGGAATACGAAAGAACTGTATTGTAATCTTACGTAAGGTTTTACCAGTATCTCTTGTCTTTACTGTGGCGGAGAACTGAATCAAAGGGAAGGCATATCGTGTCTTAGATTTATTTTCTAATAGTTGAATAGACTATCTGTGAGCTATTTGAGAGAAATTATAGTATTTGTTTTCGAATTCAGCCTTTTACATGAAAGGAAGGTAAATTGAATCTTTAAAAGAAGTGGAATCTGAATTTTCTGCTTTCGAATGAAACGCTCAGAATATTTACGAACACAGTTAGTCATATGCGAATCAAAGTGAGAGCGTAATATTTCTAAATAATATGTAACGTACGAAAATCTCTCTATAAATTAATTTTCATAGGTCTGCATGAAGTAAAGATTTATCGTCTGCCGCCAACGTGGGAAAAATCAAGCGAACATAAAATTCGCATTAAATTGTCCCCAATCGCAGATGAATACAGATCCATTGTTTCGAATTTCGATCAGGCAATGAAAGAAAACTATACAAAAATAACCAAAATCGAACGTATTCAAAACGAACGATGGTATATGCAATATTTAGCACACAAGGAAGATTTTGAAAGACGTCTTAACATGAATACGGAAAAAATTTTATATCATGGTTGTCCTGAACAAGCTGCTCATTCAATCATCCAAGACTGCTTTAATAGAAGTTTTGCTGGAGTAAATGGTAAGTTTAATCTTGGATCTTTTGTAGATTTTTGGATCGTTTGTATCTTTTTACGTGTAGGAAATGTTTATGGCTTTGGTGTTTATTTTTCATCGGATGCAGCTTATAGTCATGGATTTACTACACCAAACGCAAAAAAAAGACGATGCATGTTTATAGCACGAGTTTTAGTAGGAAAAACCACCAAAGGGAATAGTTCAATGAAAACTAGACCGCTAGGTTTTGATTCAACAACTGATGGAGATCATATTTTCGTTACATATCACGATGCTCAAGCATTTGCTGAATATTTGATTACATACAAATAAAATTTATCGAGTAGTGTATTGACTCTTACAGACATTTTTATTATTTAGAGCAGAAAATATTCTGAAATAAGTAATATGTTTCAATTTCTTAGTCATAAATAACAGCGAAGCTTCGTTACGATATCTTTTTGCGAAGGCAAAAGTTTCTATGTACATTTTATAATAAAAGAATAATTGATTGATGCAATAGAATGACTCTTTCAGCTATCTGATAAAACTTAAATATGTCATCGAAACATATTCAGACCAATTATAAAAGATGATTCGAAACATTTAATAAATGAAATGCTACAAATAACGACAGAATTTTCTTATCAACAAACAAATAATGGAGCCATGAACTTAGATAACATCTTTTGTGTTCGTACTATCATATTGCAAAACTGCGGGAGTCGATTTGAATATGTATCTGACGTGTAGTTGGATGTGTGGAATCGAATGTGAGTGAAATGAAGATGGTTGAATGAAAATCCACACTCTCCATTGAGAAAGATGTGCAGCGGTACTAACCAGTAAGCAGATACCTTTCCGGGACATATTTGCCTCCTTGTGATATGGAAGGTTCTTACTTGTAGGAAAAATCACATGAGATGACAATGAAAAAAATTTCGTGGACATTTAATTCAATGGTTTGAGACCTAAGCTTCTCAGGTTGATATTAATATTAAAAGGAAATAGAAGTGATGTTAATAGGGTTGAGTTGGATCTGATCGAAAAACTTATTTCAAGTAAAAAAACATATAAGGTGGAAATGAATCTTCACCAAAGTCAATTCTGCAAAATATACATATTTCTTCCATGTAATTGTCATAATAAAATGAATTTGTTTGATCTAATTCAATGCCAAAGTACAGAATGTATTTGTTCAATTGAATATCTAAAAATAAACTTTAGCTGTACATCAACATCTAACCTAGACGTCTGCGACGAGGGTGTGGGTGTGGGTGTGGATGCGGGTGTGGGTGTATCGTGATTGATTGGCTACCCACACCCACACCCTTTCTCCAAGTGGAGTTACCTATGAAAATTTCAGCCTGAAGGGGCCGTTAAAAGTGGAAAATTGTTTCTGAGGAGTACTTAAGTATTCACAGTCAGGGTGTGGGTGTGGGTGGGTGTGGGGTGTAGGTGGTGTGGGTGTGGGTGTGGGTGTGGGGTGTGGGTGTGGGCGTGGGTGCGAGTGAAAATGAGGTCAACACTCTTCCACATCCACACCCGCATCCACAAACCAACAAACCCACACACCCACACCAACCCACACCCCTAATTATTTTAGGGTTCTAAATTTGGGGATTATTGTCTAAACCATTTAAAGTTCCAGTCAAAACCTTCAGAACCTTTTGAGATTTAAAAGTTTTAGGCTAAAGCAACCATTTCAAGTTCTAGCCGGAAAGTCTTGAACTTAAAAAGATTCATAAAATGGTACCGAAATTTGGACTCCTAGTAGGATTATTATGACACCAGCTTTTTTTAGAGAGCGATCACTCAGTTAATAAAGTGTCAGTCTTTGAGATGCACTAGATATTTGAGAAAGGCTGATCGACGGATTTCTTTTATTGGATGTGACTTTCAGCGAGAATCAGAATGACTTCAATATTTGATAAGGTCCCGCAAACAAATCCTTTAGATATAGGTTCTACCAACTTTCAATAGAATCTGACAAGATGAATTGCACTTGAAAAGAATGTGCCTGCTCATGATAGAAGATGATTTCCTATCAAATAGTATTCTTTTCATTAGGAGAGAAATAACGATATTCAAATTACCTGCAATAGCTTTATAATGGGTTTTCTTTTGTAGTGCCCTATGAAAAGAAAATAGAAAATCCTAACCGCTATTGCACTTACTATGGATGGAAAAATGATGATGATTCGAGTACTCCTTGGAAGGAAATGAAGTTCAACAGAAATAACAACGAATAGAAAGCTTTTTTCATGAAAGACGATAACAAGTTGAATTTAGAGCGAAGTTGGTGAATCAATGCTAATACGATGATATACAAAAAGAACGACGATCATCAATTGATTTTGTAGATTAGTTTTTTCAATATTTACTTCTTAAGCTATTGAAAACATCACAAAATACTAATATGTATGTTGTGGTCGAAGTTGAAATTCAGCCCGATTCCGAATTCGTCCAGCCGAAATCGGAATTCTAACTTCGTCTGGATTAAAGTGGAATTCTAAGTTTGACTATACTGACTATGGACGAAATTAGAATTTTTTTTAATCAATGGAAAACGGTAAACGATTGACGAGAAATATTCATTAATTTTTTTGCGTTAATTATACATGTGAGGGTGTGGGTATCATATTCATTCGATCCTAGCAGGTACATGGACACCCACACCCACCCACATCCACATCCACATCCACACCCACCCACACCCACATCCACACCCACACCCACCTACACACCCACACCCGCAAAAGCAAGACATAAAATTTTTATGTTTTCATTACTAGACATTCGTCATTTCGTATTATGTTCTCTGTAAAGAATAGACTTTCGAGCATCATCTTAAAATTTAGGACAGTTTTCGCGAAAAATGCCCTATTTTGCGACTCATAGAGGATAAGAATCTTTTCTTTCGTATATTGATATGTCAATCGAATAGGAGATGAGCAGACAAATGTTTTTAAACAATCACATTGTGGCTCTTCACATTTCTTAGCTGGTGAAATTCAATGAAACTCAATAGAAAGACCCATGATATTGTGTATGTAAAATGTTCATGAAATATGTATAAAAATAGTTTTTACACTTCAATTCTTAAATATGAATATGATTGAGGAATAGTATTTGTACGCGACACATTTACACAGTTCAAAATAATTGATAAAACATCATAATGCTCCACTTTGTTGGCAGGATACAGTCTAATCATTCTAAGTTGACGATGGATGAGGCAGAACAAGCTTGTTAATTTTTGTTGTCACACTATGCTCGTATCTCTTCGCAGTCAGTTCTAACTGTTCAATACTTTCTTGTAGCTTTGGATCTTTGTAACTATATGTGATGACATTCAATCCAGGGAAATTGAATAATAACAATTTTTCCAAATTTACCAACAAATCAGCATTTGGGGCATATGTACCTGATGCATTATCGAATACTAGCTCCCATTCATCATCCAATCGATTCCAGCCAAATTTAGGACGAAGATGAAATTCACCCGCATAACAAATAAACTCGGAACAATTGCCCAATACAGCATGTTTACTGGAAGAACTACTGAAAAATCGATGACCGGTTTCGCCAAATTGCCATGCATTGTCATCAATTACATAACTGTAAATACGTGGTTTAATTTTTTGCGTTGCTCTATCCAAGAAAATGGATTTCCACAGATCATCAGCACTTGTCAATCGTCCACTTTCGTTATATTTCGACGTTCGTTCATAGAATGCTTTGTTCACCAGTTTTGTGGTACTTGGTGTGGCCAATGACATCGAATAGTTATCGGATGTGTGCTGAGCCGGTTTGTAGTATTGGTTCCATTGTTGACACTCATCGAGAGGAAAAAAGAACCAAATACGTCGCAGTTGTATTTTCCATGTTGAGTAGATACAATCAGTATTAGGCATGGTGGGATGGTCGACAACTAAAGAATCATGACGAGAATATCGACACGAACCATCGAATGTATAAAGAGGAAGTTGTTGAGTTTCGTTCGATGATTTCGTTGAATGAATGGATAAATGAAAGCGACCATTATGTCGACCGAATGAACCGACAATAACATGACCATCTGGAGGAGCATGATAGTTGATTATATTAAGAATTTCAAATTCTCCGATGTAATCATCGACGATTTTTTCGTCATCTTTATCATAAATGCTAACCAAGAGTTTGGCATTCGAGGGAATATTTCGAACGATCCACTCCTCATCATTCCATTTAGGTGTTGATGTATTGGACAAAACGGTTGACCTAGATTTAGTAGAATAAAATCGAGTTAATTCACAGCGGACTAAATTGCAATGAATTCTGATCAGTTTTTGAAAAAACTATCGCCTGGAGAGTTCTGATTATTCACCAACCTGAGATCAACGCAGATAGCTTATCTTTATTAATATTTGAACAGTAGAGTTAGGAATTTATATGACAAATAAATTGAATAGAGGACCAATTTTCAAAAATATGAAATAGGTTTTTTTAGTTCTAAGGCCATTAACTTTGAGGTGAAGTACTACTTTTCGAATATGAAATTCATCTATCAATAAAGAAAAATTCTGTTTTACCCTTTCACCTTTGTTCAAATATCATTAGATGAGTAACGAGACACTCTTCTAAGAATACTCACATGAATGAAATTTTATGATCAATTTTGGCCACAAAATATGAATTAGCATATCTGATTATATTCGTCTTTGGTAAACTCTAGAAGAGGAAAATATTCATGAACAAAATGAATGCCATTAATTAATAATCAACCTCTGCAGAATGAAATTTGATAAAAACATCAAAACCATCAGATAAATTATCGTGGAAAGACATCAGTTTTTGCAATATCTACAAGTCAAAATAATCAAAACTAATGAAAAGATATACCACAAGAAACAAAAATGACGTTTGATGATACAAATTTTATTTCTTATCGATTGTCTATCATCTGTCTCTTTTTCTTACGATGCCAAATTGGGTGATGATGACGACAATATTATACACCACAAGCTATGTCTTTTGTCGCATATAAATAGACAAGCTTACCATTGTACGATATAGGCGACAGTGTACGTCAATATTATCATTCTTCGTTGTTGAAAGCCGAACCAAAAAAAAGCAAAATACGAATGACTCGTTTTGTTTTTGTAATATCAAACAATAAATATGACTATGAGTGACTGCCACATGGCAATACATTTGTTTCTTCAGTTACATAGATTCGTAACAATGAATAAAAACAATCCAAAGATTCAGACCAAACAACTCAATGAAATCGCTTGTCTAGAACAATAGTTATTTTCTCTGCATAGCATCAAAATATGGGCATTATACTATTAAATATTCTGGAAATTAGAATTATTTGTGATAGAGTAAGAAGAAGTGAACCCATGTCGTGAAAATCGGCGTAAAATCGCGATTAATCGTTTTTTCTAAACAAGTCGTTGATTAAATCAGATTTAATCGCGATTATATACGGAGAAATGATTTTTAAAAAATCGCCGATAAATCAGAACGATAAATCGTGTTAACACTGTTTTTTGCGAGTGATTTCCAATTACCAATTAATTAGAAAAGTATTTAAAGATTCAACAACAAAGAAAAAGATTTTCATTTTGATGGATGTCACCACTGTGAAATGAACAAGATTGGACGATTTCAAAAAACGATCGAGGTATTGAACTTCATTCATTTGATTCAAAACATTTCTTTTTTTCATGAAAGATACTTTATTTCAGATGCATTTTCAGATCAAATATTTTTCCGATTAGTATTCTTTTTGCTCTAAATTTAGTTTTAGGTGAATTTATCGATCTCCAACTAATTTAAATTTGAAAAATTCTTCGCTAGTATGAGCTCTTCTACTACTATTAACTTGTAGTTCTGCTTCTCATTTTAGATTTTAATTCAAATTTTCTCTTTTAGATTTGGAATTTTTAAACGAAAGCAGAGATGCGTAGAGTATAAAAAAAGATTTTGTTTAGAAGAACTATTTCTATAGACAACCATTTTATTTCTTTATGTTTTCTGTTTTTTGAATGTTGTTATCATGTGATTATGAAAAACTGTTTGGCGCATGATTTTTTTTTGTGTTTTTATAATAAATTTTGTTCATATAGAAAGATGTCATCGCTAAATTCTTTTAAATAAAATATTGATTAACCAAAATTTATAACTACTGATTCTCAATAAAACAGTGAACCATAAGTTTATACACGTAAAATCGCATAGCCTACTGATAAAATGAACGAGAAAAATCGGTCAGAACGTTATGATTTATCAAAAAAATCGCCAAAATAATCGAAAAAAATCGGCGATTTATCGCAATTAATTGGACGAGTAACGTTTCGATAAATTCCGATTAATCGCCGATTTTTAGGCAATTTTGAGAACATGGGAATATATATTAATAATCTATAACGAGCTTTGTAAAATCTGTATTTTTTCTTTTTTTTTTTTCAATATTTAAAAAAGATTGTTAGCGGAGCCCCTTCGGGGCTGAAATGTGGAACTCACATATTCTCTATGAATTAAGTACTCATTGGATAGAGGGTCTTTAGTTTTTAATGCATCAGATGTAAAAAAACTGGAAGTGGTAAACGTAAACTAAAACAAATGAGGATTTATTCAATACAGATTGGTTTCTTTATTAATAGTTACCAGTATCGAGGTGAATATATTAGGAAGTTCATGTCAATGCTTTTCGATATATTGAAGTTGTGGTTTGGTTAAGTATAATATGTTAAAAAGTGGCATGAAATATTTATCTAATATGTGTATTTCTGTTGTTGCTGTCGTAAACGATGCATAGAGTAGGAAAGCGTTTAAAATATATTTTCGTTCGATTTGAAAAAGTGATGTAAACTCTGACAGATTAGTTTACGAAAACATTTAGATTGAATAAAACTAATAAAATTTTTAAATACACCAGAAGAGTTCGCAATTTTAATTTTGACAGCCTTATAATAAGAAAGCTTTGAAATGTTTTTTTTTTTGTTATTTATAGGGTGTGGGTGCATGAAGATAATTACTTGAACTTACTACGAGACATCTAGAAAGGTGCTAATAATTACAATAGCGATAGATCGAAAAAAAACCGTGAAAATTCTTGTATGTATAATGAATAAAAGAACAAAACTGCTTATGTACTGATAAAAAATTGTGAAAGAGTTATATAGCGACTTGTTTTCAACCTATTTTTGTTTGATTGTTAACAGGAATATTTTTCTTATCTTGTGCTTTT